AACATTCAACAGTTAATTGTTGTTAAGTGTGTGAAACTAACCATACCAGGTTTAAAATGACAACAAACCCACTTAGAAACATGTTGGAGGATTTGTTTTGTCACTGCACATGGTTCTAGGACAATAATGGAGTGTCACATGCCCACATAGGGATTTGGGACAGAATAAACATTAGAATATTTAGAATCAGCACTTTGGTCTTTTAAAAAATTGAAGCAGATGAGGTTTCAAATGACAGCTTAGTCTGAACGTGAGTAATGTGAGCGCATGTGTGCTGGGGGTTGTAGTTCCTAGAGGTCTGATTCTTGGAAGTCTTGAAGGAGGAACGACCTTTGCCCCTGCAGTAACGTGCACATCTGCTGCCGTGGAGGTTCACAACCTCACACACAGAAACACACCACACTTTCAGACGTATTTACATTGTGTGGTGATTTAACTGAAGCTCTTATTCACACAGGCTGATGACGAGCTGCAGCACAAACCTCCAAACATACACGTTTGTACTCCTGTACTTGTGGGGACCATAGGGTTTAGATTTGGTTTTATGGCTATGGTTGGAATAAACTGAGGACCAGACAAAATGTCTTCAATGTGTCCTCACTTTCCATAAATATGTCATGACTTTCCTGAAACATTGTCCCTTTCCATAAACATCCTCATTTTCATGACTGTCAAAAAATGTCTTCACAAATATCCAAACTTTCTAAAAATGCCCTCCCCTCCCAAAATCTTCTCACTTTCCAAAAATCCAAAGATAAACTTGCTTTAGAAAATGTCCTAATGTTTCAAAATGTCATTACTTTTCCCAAAATATCAACAGTTTCTAAAACTTTCATATGTCTTTTCATTCGCAAAATGGTCTCACTTTGCAATTAGACCTCAGAAATCTAGCTATTCCACTGTGTTTTCTATTGTCTTTTGGTGCAGTCCTGTCAGCCCGGCTCAGGTTGTAAGTAATAACCAACCAGCTAGGCTTCTCATCACTCCCTCATTTCCATGGCAACAGCCAATCAATTATCACCTCACATCGCACCACTTCTTTCTTGGACAAAGACAGGAGCCATTAATGTAGCGTTTGGGGTTGAGAGGTGACTAAATAGCAAGGACTCTGAAAGACTTCAATCATTCTTTGACAGCAGTTTTATTTTAGATGAATTAAGGCTGAATCCTGAATTCTTCCAAATGATTAACAGCGGTGTTACAGTTATAAAAAATTTAAAAAAAAAGTCAAAGGTACAAGAGTGTGTGCATAAAGTTTTGAGTTAAGATGCAAACTGCGACTCCCAAGGTGCATTTAGGCAAGAAACATCCAATTACTGAACTTAAGATTCTGAAACTACAGATGACGATAACTGACGAAAACTTAAAACACAATCTGCAGCTAAAACAAGTTCACTCCTAAATTCTGGGTCAGTTCTGGCGACAGGATTGTTTTTAACCATTGACTGGCTGCTTCTACATGATGACTGTACCCAAGGCTTATGGGTATTGTAGTATTTAGACCCATCAGAGAGACAAAACATTATTTCTCAGGAACAAAGGTAAAAATGGAGGCCATAACTTAAGGGTCAACAGGGTTGTTAAAATGCGTGAGAGTCCTGAGTTTCTGAAGTTTCTGAAGAATAATATAATATTAATATTATAATACCCCAAAATCCCCAATTTCATCCCAGTTCACTACTGTTTAGACTCAACGTCAACAGTAATTTGGGAAGAAATAAATGCAGAACTTTACTTTAGGGAAATGAAAGGATGGGTCGTGTGACAGAAAAGTGTCCAAAGTTAGGTATCAGTATTTTTTTGTTTCCTGACACTGCAGTGCGCTACATTCCTCCAGGAGTTTAGTTTGTGTTCAGAGTCAGTTGCGGGTTCTTCGCTCTGACTTCATCCTACAAACAGCTGGATGAGTGAGTCGAGCTTCGTCGTCTCTGCTTCTGATTTCCTCCTGCACAAAGTCTGGGAGTGTTTTCTGCCTGGAAACGGTTTTTTATGGACTGACGGACGGACCGCCTGCCTGTGTGTTTTTCTTTTTCCTTTTTTTATTTCACAACCTCGCTGAACTTGAAAATGAAAATGAACTCACGTCACCCCTGCCTGCTGCCAGATCCTGCTTTTGTCCCAGTTTTTCTCTCCTCTCTCTGAGTCTATGTCTCTGCTGAGTTTACAGTGCTGAGCTCACCTCTCTCTCTCTCTGCAGACAGTTATAACAGCAGCAGCATGTTGATCTAATTCATTTTGAATAATGAAGATGTTTATCTGGTTTTGCGTATGAGCCGCAGGGCGAGCTAGGTCACCACCGCCACCGCTAGGTGTTTTGGCGAGCAGGTGATCTGAGGCTGGCTGTGTGCTGAGGTTTCTGCTGTCAATCAAACACTGATAGATAAAGCATCAGCATCACAAACGGTTGGAAACAACAGGGAATAAAACAAGCTCTTTGTCTGCTTCTGTCTCAGACAGGATGACGTATTGCCATAACCAACCATCACCTCCACCTTCCTTCCTCCCCCCTCCTCCTCCCCTCCAGGGTTTGTTCATGTCATGATGATGATGATGATGGTGGTGGTGGCAGCATGGCTCAACCTCCAGCCTCCTGCAGCAGCTTAAAGGGTTAACATGCAGCCACAACAAAGGAGCTGGTGCTGGGCCGGCGTGTGCATGAGTCGAGTGTGTGCGAAGGGGGGGGGGGGGGGGGGGGGGGGGGTGAAGAAGAGGAGGGGGTGCTCTGGCTGCCTTCTAGCCCGCCCTGGAATTCTTTATTGGAGAGGCTTGTTTACAACCTCGACGCATAGGAGTCCCCGGGTTCATCGGCCCGGTGGGGAGGGGGTGAGGAGGAGGATGGGGGAGGGAGGAGGGGGAGGTTGTTGGACTCACAAGAGAGCAGAGAGGAAAATGGTACAGGAAGAAGACAATAAGAAAATATGTTAAGGGCCTCCAGAGCTGCAGGATCTGAGCTTTTGTTTCTCCTCTTTGTTCCCAATTGTCTCTCTTTGATTCTTCATGATTCTTTATTTCTGTCTTTGTTTTCTTTCATTAACAGTATTTAACATGCACATGTCCGCGTTGATGCAGACACGTGAAGGGGATTGCAGCCCTAAAAAAAAAAGAAAAACTCCTCTTTCCTCTGCTGCAGCCGATTCCACATTCTCTCTATGAAAAGACATGCAGCAGGAGGACTTATTTAGTTTCTTTTTCATGTTTTTGTTTTCTTCAGACAGAGCTGCAGCCTAGTCTCTTAGTCAGCTGCAGGAACCTGTCTGCACAGTTTGCACTGAAGCAAACCAGCAGACAAAACAATATTTTAGTTTCTCACCCATTTGCATTTTTATTAAGTCTTATCTGGTAGAAGTTGGGCAGTTCAGCCACATGTCATTGCTGCCGACCTGTCCAGCTTGAGTTTACATTGCATCTGAGCTGCAGTGTCTGTCTGTGTAATGGTAGAACAGCAAGCATGTTGTTTATAATCTGCTACTGTAGTTCACACACCCCTCCCATCTCCTCCTCCACACTTGTGTTTACATCTACATTTTACATGAGTCTCACATCTGTTTCAACAGAGTGCAACAGTAAAATAAAGGCTATTTACACAGGTTGATAAAGAAAAAAGAATCATTTTCTTGATTAAATGTTTGATGTATAACCTGTCACAAATTAGTTAAAAATGCCTCTTATAATTTCTCAGAACCCAAGTTGACATCTTGTTTATCTAACATTCAGATATTCATATAAGACATTCAATTTACATTTACAACATATCAGAAGCTGTACCCAGTACAATTTTAGCATTTTTCCTGAAAAGATGACCTAAATGATTAACAAAGTTGCAGATTATTTTTCTATTGACTTAGACCTACTGATTAATTGATGGAATCATTTTGTGAGCTAATTCAAATGACATATTTTTATAAATAAGTTCACATTTATTTGTCTTTTCAACCACAATGCTCTTACTTCTTCAGGACAGGGCAAAAAAACAAAACCAAAAATTTATTTCTATTAATATCTTACATTTTGCGTGTCCGTAATATTCTAACATGATTAGAAATTAAAAATTTGTTTCATTACTCCATAAAAACATCCTTATAAAAAATGTATTTATATTAATATCTCATATATTAAGTGATATTCCAACATGATGTAGGCTGTTTAAAGTTGAATTTCTCATTTCAACTACAAACAACATAAATTTCATCTGCAACAAAACGTACAAATATAAACATTAAAAAAATTAAAAGCATCAACATGTGTTTATGAATATATCTAATAAAAAAGTGAAGTAATTAAGCTGTCAACATGTGTTTTCATTAATATCCTATATTTAGTGTCACCATATTAAAAAGTTCAAATTTATTTGCAATGCCAATCATATAAAAACATTAAAACATCGACATATTTTTATTTATTTATATGTTTTATATAAATAAAAGCTATGTAGGATAATATCTTGTTCCACATGGAGGCTGTTTAAAGTTAAAGCTTTTTGTCATCTCAGCCTAAACACTGTAAAAATACAAAAACATTAGGTCAAATTTGTGTTTATGAGCGAGCCTTATACAAATAATGACATAATTGTATGTGATTCTTAATTTCTCGTGTTCATTTGTCAATAATTTATATTTTTTCAACATTGTATTGTACCAGCAGTTGGTCACTACATGCCTCTCACGCGCGTCCTCGCGGGTATCGCGGTCCCGCCTCGCGACTGTCTGCTTCCCAACCTTTCCCCCAGTTCGAAGCGCGCTGCCGGGTTCACCGGGTTTACTCTGACACCGCTGACTCCCCTGCCACGCCCCCCGACAGCCACGCACCCCGCCTCGGGCCAATCGCGTCGCAGCCACGTACCGATCACGCACCGCCTCGTCTCGGATTGGCCGGAGACCGCTACACCTTTGCCTCTGATTGGCTGCGTGTTACCACCCGCCAGACTGCTCTGAATTTTGTTTCTGTGTTTTTTTTTCCCTCAGGTTTTTTTTTTTTTTGGCTCCGCTCAGCTGAAGCCAGTCTGCTGGCAGAGGCTCAGCTTATTATTGACGGCTCGCACTCCTGCCGCTGCTCCTGCCTTTATTTTGAATCATTTGTCGCTCGGTGTTGAACTCTTCTTCCTCCTCATGCTCAGCTTCACGGCGGAGCACTGCTGCCAGGTGAGTCCGCTTCACGTCCACTGAAACTGGCTGTTAAGCAGCTGTCCGGCCGATATTTAATCAAAGTTGTTATAGCTGAGCTGTTTCCTGCATATTCATAATAACACACGCTGGTCTCAGGTCACTTCAAGAGGCTCTAAAGCGGGCTTCAGGTGGGCTTGTTACCGCCACCAGCGGGTGATTTTGTCTTATTTTGGCGCTGCTGGCTGGTTTATTTGAGGTCATACTGAACCCAGTGTCGCCTGTGTGTGTGTGTGTGTGTGTGTGTGTGTGTGTGTGTGTGTGTGTGTGCGCATCCTGCCGTCAACAGTGTGTTGTGTTGCTGTGTATTCACAACAGTTGCATCACTGCAGTGCATCCATCACAAACTTTAAAGACTGATGGAGATACTTTTGCCCCAAACTGGTCTGATTGTCTTTGTTGTCAGAAGGATCCACCGCTGCTGCTGGTTTGACTGTTTTTTTTTTTTTATTGTTGATGAGCAGAGTCAGATTCTACTTGATTGTCTTTGTTGTTGCTGTGATGAGTGAGGAAGCTGCTAATGGGTTTTTTTTTTTTTCTTGCTTCACCTGATCTGTTAATGGAGAAATGATAAACTGCAGCTAATGATTTCTGAAATCTAACAATTATTTTCATTACCGATCAATTTGATGACATTAATTAATCGATTAATCGTCAAAACAGTGAAAAATGCCATAATATTGTCTGCAAGCAAAAACTGCCATCATCAACCAACCTTCCAAAACACAAAAATAGCCATTTACTATAATGAAAGACATAATCAAATGTTTGATGTTTTGTGTCAATGGCTAATTGTTGATTAATTTCCCGTCAATCAATTATTGACTATTAGCAGCAGCTCTACTATAGTTGATTGCTTTAAATGTGCTAATGAATTCTGAAGTCTGTGAAATGACAACCACAATATACCAAAGCTCAAAGTGTAGTCTTTAGATGTGATAATTAATCTAATCATCAGTCAGACAAAAGAGAAATATCAAATGTAAAGTAATATTAACCATAAACTAAAATGTCTGTATCCATGAAGCTCTAAGAAGAAGTGCCTCAATATTGATTATTCTTGTTATCGATTAATCTGTCAACTAATCGATTTTTGGTCTATGAAATGACAGAAAAATGCAATAAATGCTTGTCCCAGTTTTCCAAAGCCCAAGTTGATGTATTCATATTGCACATTTTGTCCAAAACCAAAATAAATTCAGTCGACTATCATATAAAAGTCAAAAAAAAGAGTAGCACATTTAAGAGACTGAAACCAGTGATTTTTTGGCATTTTTGCTTTTAAAAATGGCTCAGATATTCAGTCAACCAATCTACAAATAAAAAATTCAACTGTCAGCATTAGAATCGATGCATTTTCTGTTTATTGACTGCTCAATTGATCAGATTCAGGATCAGTTTGTTCCTTAAGGTTGCACCCAAAAACTGCAGCTGAGCACAAACAAAGAGACAGCAGAAGAAACAAGACCACATATGAACAGGAGAAAATATCAACAACCAACCAGAACCAAAGTCACTAAAACGAGGAAAAGAAAAATCAAAGGCTGACGAAAAAGTCAAGCTCAATCAATAAATCCTTTCTGGGTAAATTCATGTGTTGTTTGCTGTCAGTAAAAGTCAGACACTGAATGATGATAATGTTTATTTAAGAGTAATTAAAAACACATTAATTCCCTTTTCAAGTGATTGTGGATGTGTGTTGTGCTCTGCATTGTGTCTTGTTGCTGTAATCTCATTATGTGCTGCTGTGTGATGTGTTTGTGTTATGTTTTGCGTGGGAAATTGCAGCGCTGGAGCACGATACTGTGTGTATGTGTGTGTGTGTGTTTGTTGCAACAGATTGACTTTGTTTTCTCCAACTATACTTCCTGTGAGGAGCTTCCTCCCTCCCTCTCTCTCTCCCCCTCCCTCTCTCTCTCTCATGGGGCAAGTCGGTGCATGTTAATGTGGGAGGGGTAGGGGGCGGGGCTTTTCCATGGGGGGGGGGGGAAATATCTGGCACGCCACCCGTCATCTATTCTGGGTACATGGGGAGGTTCCCCCTTTGCTTTAGCGAAACGATGGGTGTACCCGCTGCAGTGGGGCCCCTCTCTCTCTCTCTCTCTCTCTCTCTCTCTCTCTGTGTCTATATACCAAGGTCTCTCACCCCTCGCTTGCTCTCTCCCTCCACCCTTCCTGTACGTGCAGCTGAGCAGTCACCAGATGCCAGCCAACTTAGCCAAGCACCCAGGAGCCCTTTGTCCCCCCATCACCTCCCACATACACTTATGTTTTTTAATTTATTTATTCTAGCATTTTGTGTGTGCATTTTTTTTTTTTTTTTACCTTGGCTGCCTTTTGTGAAGAACAACACAATTTTATTATTATTATTTGATTTTCTATGTTTTTCTTACATTGTTTTTATGGATCAGGGAGACGGGAAGAAGCGGGAAAACTAATGACATCATTGGTAATTAGATGGGTGGCGTGCACTTAAGTTCTCAAAGAAAAAAGAAGAGGGAAGAAGAAGAACATGGGCTGTGTCTGAAATCACTCCCTTGTTCACTCATTCACTGCTCCCTTACAGGCGACGGGTCATCTGGGGCAAAGCTCCACCTGCTGGCAGCCAATAAAAAAAGTCATTTTAGTGGCTCTGAGTAACTTAGAAATTAATATAACTCTGGATTAATGCAGGACACAAAAAAACTTCAACTGCTGTTATGTGTCGTTATTCTTCAATTTGAGGTTAATGAATTTAATTGGCTGTTTTCAGAATAATGTTGTCATTTGCTCGTAGTTGGTAGAAGTTAATATTTGTTTTAAGGAAGAGAGCAGCTGTGGTCTCCATGAACAAAGTGGATTATCTTCTGCATCACTAATGTGAAAGTCTGTCTTTAGAAGAAAAGCTGGAGCTTAAACTCCTCTTTGCAAACAGCTGCAGGATACTGCTATGAACCAAACCTCTGGTAAAAATGATCAAATTTAGCATAGAGTGGTTCTCCAGGAAAAAATGTCAGACTCTTTTTTTGCTCCCTGTGTGTGTTATTTGGAGGAAGGTGGTAGCTGGTCAGGAACAGGATTTCAGGATTCTCTGGCATTTTTCTGAGAGGATCACCAAACATAAACAGAGCAGGTGTCTGTAGACAACATTATGATACTGGATTATAGCATATAACTATCAAACTCACAAGTAATCAAATATGAGATTCCAAACGGGTTAGTCAGTGTTAGTGGTGAGCTGGCAGACAGAGTTTATACCAGCAGACAGATAATACAGATATTTTAAACATTTTAAAACCATCACACATTTCTGACCCCACCTATGTAATCAAATTCAGTCCTGCAACCTGAGCCCTCTTATAGTGAGATCATTGAGTCAACATGGTTAAAACCCTGTTTCCTTTTTCTGACCAACCACAGTGGATGACTTATTGTATTTGAAAGAAGATGTTTGTAGCTTTTTTATTTTTGGAAACTTCTCCCCACCCTAAAATCTTGTCCATATCAGAAATACATGAGCTCTATGGAAACAAAAAGGTGCCAAAGTCGTCTCTTTTGTTTAAACAGTAGATTTACTCCAAAACTAGATGACTGCTGTGGACGCAAAATGGTGCCAAAATTTCATTTTCTTGCAGTTGTTAAGAATATTCAAATTCATATTGACTCTGATGGTTCTGATTCTTGTCATATTTGAGTGATAAAGAGAAAACTTTTAAAAAGAAGAAAGTGCTTCATGTGCAGCAGATTGAGTCATTCTTTGACCTCCTGATCTGCCTCAGGTTGACCGTATGGACAGCCGGCCAGCGGCGACCATGGAGCTGAAGCCGTGCATCGAGTACCATGACCTGGAGGCCGCCGAGGCGCTTGTCAGCATGAGCTTCTGGGGTCAAAGGGCGCACAAACCCCGCCCGCTGACCCCGACTTCTGACTCCTGTGACTCCATCCAGCTCCACCCAGAGGGAGGGGACACTCCCAAAGACCTGATTGCTCTGTCCTCACTGGTAAGAATAAATCGACAATCAGGTTAAAAACTGGAAAATTAAAGGCTTTTGACTTGATTGTATAATAATGAATACATAATCATTCTAAGATTTTAAGATTTTTAAAAGTAATAATAATTTTTTGTCATTATAGTGTATGACTCCACCTCACAGTCCAAGCTTTGCAGAAGCCTCCACCACCGCTGTCCTCACCACCACCTCTGCTATGAGTCCCGCCTCCAGACCAGTCCTACCCCGCCTGGGGCTCAGTGTTGGCCCCGCCCTCATCAGTGACTCCCAAACTGGCCTCCCCCAACCCTCCCCCTCCTCCTCCCCCTTCACTTCAGACACCTCGGCACTTCCACCTCAGACGGAGTTGTCCTGTGTGGCTCCGTCTGGCAGAGCTATGGCCACCAGCGTCATCCGCCACACTGCCGACAGCCTCAGCATTCTTCCTCCCCCTCCCTCTTCCTCCTCCCAGCCAATAGAGACCTCCACGCTGCCTCAGCCAGGACCTCCAGAGACACTTACAGAGGAGAAGGAGGGACCTCCTCCGTCTCCTGACAGCCCGTCCTCTCCTCCTTCCTCTGTGTCTTCTCCTCAATCCTGCCAAGTGTCTTCCTCTTCCTCCCCAGTCTCCCCCTCTCCGGTCCTCTGCCAGGTGTTCCCGGTGAGTGGCCGGACGGGGATGATCTCCGCCTTTGTCCAGGCTCCTGTTCAGGTGCAGACTCAGGGGGGGCCCAAGCCCATATTGCCACAGTCGACTTCCAGCTTTGCTCAGCCTCTGCTGGTGGGCTCTGCTGTGCCGCAGGGGACCGTGATGTTCGTGGTCCCCCAGCCGCCCGTCTCCCAGCCCCCACAGGGTCCGCAGACTGTCATGACCCTGGGCAACACCAAGCTGCTCCCCCTGGCACCGGCTCCAGTTTACATGCCGTCAGGAGCGAGCAGCGGCGCCTCACAGACCGACTTCTCCCGCAGGCGAAATTATGTCTGCAATTTCCCCGGCTGCAAGAAGACGTATTTCAAGAGTTCACACCTGAAGGCTCACCTGCGCACACACACAGGTAAGAGGCAGAGTCATCACACAAAATAATCTTTCCCCTCTCTGCAAAATGAAAAACATTTTTTGTTGATGTGGTTGTTCCTTCGTGGGTTGAAACTTCTTTCCTTTCCTTTGAACTAACAAACTACATGTTAATGGCTCTGTGAATCTATTCTTAAGCTCTGCAACAATTATCTGATAAATTGATTAATTAAAATCTTTTTCTTGATTGTTTTGAGTCAATTCTTTGGAAAAAAAGGGTTTTTTTTGTTCCAGTTTCTTAAATATGAATATTTGCTGGTTTTCTCAGTCTTCTACAACTATTGAGTGAATATTTTTGGGTTTTGGACTATTGATTTGACAAATTTGACATTTGATTTTTTACTTAGTATTAAATTGTCTGAATAGAGTTTATTATTTATTTGATAATTTACTTATTTTACAAATAGTACAAATCACACAAGACTTTTAGACTTTAGCAGTTGTAGCTTAAATAGCAAACAAACAGAAAAATATAGCACCTATATATAAAGTGCATTAATTAATCTGTTGATTGTTTAAATGTCAGTAAATGGTGAAAAATGTTCATTGCAATTTTCCAAAGCCCAAGGTGACGTCATCTCGTATTATTATTATTATTATTATTATTATAACCACATAACCACAATTTTTTTATTTATTTTATTGTCTGTAAGTTGCATCCCTGCTGCACTTTGACACATTGGTGCTTTAAGCTTAATGCCAACATCTAAGTAGAGATAGCCCAATAAATCAGCTGATATTGGCTTATTGCAATATTATAATCAGTGTATACAGTATGTTAGTTGAGATAACAAGAAATATCAGTACAGAAATGCTAAACAATGCAAAACAAGTTTGAGGTAATTTACCAACAGTATCTCCAATACAGAGTTTGACAAGTTAATTTTTAACTGTAAAATGTTTCACAAGATACATGATGAACAAGAAATCTGTATCAAAATTGTTTGTTTGTTGTTGTTATTTGTCCTGTTTTTTAACTCCCAAATATTGTATCAGAATCAGCTCTAAAAATCCAGTAAAGCACAACTGAGGCTGATGAGAATGTCATTATGATATAACCATTCCTAGAGATACGAACGAGCTTGGCTAATAAACCCTCCTGATTTGCTGAGAGCTGCCTTCGACCACTTGGCTACTGTTTGGTGATACGTTTGTGATCTAAGAGCTGATGCTTCCTAATAAAAAAGAAAATTTGCAAAGTAACTAAATCATAAAAACCCAGAGCAGCTTTTCCTGTGATACTGGTAAAGCATTGAACATTCTTATTATTTAGTGATGGTGTGGTTTGTGGTTTTGTTTGTGAGGAATTATCCTGTGTGCTAAGAGTCTGTCCTTATTTCTTCCTCTGCAGGTGAAAAGCCGTTCAGCTGTCACTGGGAGGGCTGCGACAAAAAGTTTGCCCGCTCTGATGAGCTTTCCCGCCACCGCCGAACGCACACCGGTGAGAAGAAGTTCGTCTGCAACGTGTGTGACCGCCGCTTCATGCGCAGCGACCACTTGACCAAACACGCCCGGAGACATATGACCACCAAGAGGTCATCCTCGTGGCCCGCCGAAACTGGAGATCTCAATAAAGTGGCCCTGCCCAAGGGCCAAAACAGAGGCCCTGCGCTTCCTGTTGGTGTGCTCGTTTCCACTGCAAACTAACGGACTCAGTCAGGAGCCCACAGGGCTAACTCAGGACCCCGGGAGGGGTGTGGAAGGGCAACCACACTTTTAAAGGTTGAACTGACTGGTTGTTTCAATCAGCTCCACCAGCCACATCAGGACAATATTTTTTACTCTAGTAATCACATTCGGCTGGTGAACACAGTGAAGACAGCTACTGGGTCCTGGCTACGTTTACATTAACGCCTCAGAACAGGGTCATTAAAACATGGTCAACTATGATAATCTGAAAAGAGGTTAAGATGGTTGTCTTAAGTCTCATATTGAATTGGTTTCCTTGCTGTGGAAACGGACCAGTTATCTGTTTCATCAGTATTTTTGTTTTTTGTTTTTCAAGCTAAGCATCTGTCCCACTAGCCTGGGTCAGATCGATTGTTTCTTTTAGGGCTGGAACTAACAATTAATCTGATGCTATCTATTCTATTTTTTTCTCTATAAAGTGCCAGAAAATAGTGAAAAAAATCCTGTTAGTATTTACCACAGACCAATGTGACGTCTTAAAATGTCTTGTTTTGTCTGGCCAACAATCCAAAATCCAAAGATACACAGTTTACTATCTTGTATGACAGAGAAAAGCATTTCAGACAACATTTGGGAAGCTAGGAACAGCAATGGTTAAAAACATGACAATGACTCCATTATCACAATAGTCGATAATTTTCTATTTATTAATCAACCAATTATTGCAGCTCTACACACCAGAAAACCAAACTGCACAGTTCTTCAGTAAATGCACTGTGGTGTTTTCCACCATTGACACTAGCACAGCTTTTAGTAAACTTGACAGTTATTCTCCCGTTAACAACCAAGGTAACAAAAACTATAACCTTTTTTGAAATGAACAATCTTAAAAACAAAATGGCAGCTGGCAGTAAATGGTCCAGGTGTTTTTACTGCGACTGAAAAAGCAGATACATGTTCATAACTGGCTAGCGTGGTAAACATTAGCTTACGGATCATCTTCATTCAGACACTTTGAGGTGTGGCCAGATATTCAGGTGTATTCACACTACAGTAATTGAAATGATTAAGATTAACATCTGAAGTGAGTATTGCTGAAATGCAGTTAAAATCCAGATATTCTGAGTTTAATTCATGTAGACGTAGCTGGAGCAGCCAGCAGAGGACAGAGCGAGTTTCCCACCCTGCTCAGGACATTTTATTCCCACCAACCACAAACTCACAAGGAGGAGGAAGAGGAGGAGGAGGACACGAAGGCGACAGGCTGCTATTCACCCACGGACAGAAACCAACAAAAACCTGACATTGCACTGGATTTTTTTAATCTTGCTTGTTTTTGTACTCTCTCCGTGTATAATCATGTTTACTTCATGTGTATATGTCAAGTTTAGCAAAATGTATGCACTCTTTTTATTTTTTGCCAAAGCCTCTGTATTGTGCTTCTATTGTTAGCCTACTTATGTTTATTTGTCTGTGACTGTAAATATTGTAAATATATTGATATCTATATGAATGTTACGTGTATTCCAATCTGCATTTATTGACAGTACGAGTTATTGATATTTTAAAAATGTCAGTGGACAGTATTCCTCACTGTGATACTACCTACTATCTCTGCTTTACACAATATTATTATTATTTAATAAACATTTGTTGAGGAAAAAAATGCTGTTTTTGATAGCTTGATTTGGCCCATAGTGTAGCCAGTAAGAAAATACCTCATGTTATTAAATGTTATTCTTAATAATAATGGCTTTTATCAGAATAATCCCATTTCTGAACATTTGCCTGTAAGCAATGGTGAAGAATATGGCTTTTATAATAAAAATTTACCATGAAAATAAGTGGTAGTTTGTTGTTTGTTCTTTTTCACTGTACATTTCATCAAGTGACATTTTGTTTTATTTTTTAATGCATTTTAACATTGCTAACATGGGAAATTAACATGCTTGCTAGGCTAACTCTGGCTAATTTAGTTTTTCCGCTGATCGTGAAAAACTGCTTGTTTATTTGTTAGGGACTCTATTAGCAGGTGACTCACCATGTCCAGACGTAGTGGTTATCAAGATTAGAAGTTCAAGAAGTGTGTTCTCAACTAATTTGGGACAAGGCAAAAAGCATATTTCACAAAAAACTGAACTATTCCTTTATAAGAGAGACTACTGTTAGTGGTAAAACCAGAATATATATTACACATAGGCATTTTGTTGAGGCTACAACCAGTGTTTCTATATTTGATTGATAAAGAGTAGCCTATAATATCAACTTGCACAAATCCATAACCTGCACAACTGAAGAAAAAATAGTTCAACTGGGCGGAAAGCCGACCCAAAAACACTGGCTACAACTTTAGTTGGTACGTTGACTCACTTTAGTGATTGATGTGTGAGGCTGGACTTTTTCATCAACCACAAATGGCCACAAAATAACACAAAATGGCTAAAAAGAGACAAATAACACAGACAAAAACAACCACAGAGACACAAAAGATGAAAAATGACCACAGTGATGTCAAACAGCCACCAATGGACTAATTCGTTGACCACAAAGAGACACACAATGTCTCTTGTGTAAAAAGATGGAAAATTACAACAAAGATATATGTCAAATGGCCATAAAAGGGTCAAAAAATTACCACAAATGCATATTTTTGTCTCTTTCAGTTTCAGAGCCTTGCTCCTACAGTTGTAAGCAAAGGTTTGAGCATTGACATTTGACAAACGGCTCACTTTTTATGTCTGTTTGCTGAAGGGGTTGCATTTACTTCATTTCTCCTCAAAAAAAAACTAAATTATTTAGAATATAATTGTTTATTTTCATTTATTTCACTGAATAAACAATGGATATTAATCATGTGCTGTTTGATGAGAATCAGGGATTTAAATGTGAGTCCTAACACATTTTTTTGTCAATATCTTTGTGTCCCAGTCTGACCCCACAACTTTTCCAAACTCACCCCTATTTACAATCTGACAGAGTTTAAGTTTTTTGTGTCATACAGTGTATTTGACTCAAACTGTGAGATAAATTATGACCATGAGAAAATCTCCCAGATGGCTTTTGAAAAATATTTTTCCGTGTAGCTCATAAGCTTCTTCCTGTGTGGATTTAGGTCAGAAATGTTATAGCGACCGTAAAAACACGGTTAAACACCGCTGTGTCGATAAACAAAATGGGTTAATTCAGTTTTCTAGGCTGCGTTTCTTTATATAAACACATACATTGTCCTGTATCTAAAGTTTCTGCTCGGCGACAGCGAGCCTGTTACGTGTTATGTTATACAACCGGAGCCCCGACCACTCTCCCCACACCACCCGGTAACAGCGCTCAGCCAATCCCCAGCCAGTGCTGAGGGGGTGTGACCAATAGCAGAAGTTGACGTTGTGCCTGGAACGTGGGACGGTCGCATCATTGGCTGATGAGGTACCCGCCTACTTACCTTACTGACCGACATTCAGCAGATGCCAAAGAAAATGAATAAAAATAAAATACGTAAAAAAAACCTAAAAAAAAACACAGGAGTCTGGTGAAGGCGAAGTGACCAGGGAAACAGCATCGTGTGGCGGCAAGTGGCACTGCAGCACAATTTTAAAACAGGGACACGCTGTATAAGACAAACATACACTTTAAATCAAATATATCAAAATATCGTTTCGGATTGGGTGAGTGATCTATAAAGCAGGAACCTATGAATGGGGGCCAGACTGAGGCACATTTGTTGAATTATCAAAATGTGCCAAGACTAAATTTAAAGTCCTGATTCTTAGTAATAATAAACATATTATTGAAGCCAAAAAAGAAAAAAAACAGGAGTGTGGTAGAGGCAAAGTAATCAACCTGTAAAGGAACATATGATGTTTCTGGCTCATGTAAACTGTTTGAAATTGGTAAAGAAACAATTTAATCATTATACCATGATGACTTTGTTGCTTGCTTGAGACAGTGCTAGACAGAATTAGTTTACAACACTTGTCATATGTTTTGCCATGTAATTGCATAGTTTCATTTTTTTTTAATCTATTCTCAATTTCATTTTATATACCTATATTTATGTTTGTTTTTTTTTTTTGTTTTTTTTATCTTAACCTTTACCTGTACTTATTTCTGTCCTTGTGCTTCTGTAAGTACCAGATTTCTCCTCTGGGGATCAACAAAAGCTTATCTTATGTCATCTTATCTTATCATTTTGTATTATTAATCTGTATCATTATTATCAATATTATTATTATTATCATATTATCAATGAAATGGAAATAAAAAAGGACATTTACCTATATTACCAGCAGAAAATGACAGTGGTGGAAGAAGTACTCAAATAATTTACTTGAGCAAAAGTAGAAACTCTGTAAACATACTCTAATACAGGTACAATTGTTTTAGTATCAATGCTTGTGTCAATATGATTGATACAAAAAAAAGAAGAAAGATTGCCTCCATCACGTTAGACCCTAGACACATGAAGAATCTTCTTAGTGACGCAATATTTGCATCTCTGCCTATGTTTGTGATCACCTCCTTAGTTTACATTTGTTTTCTACTATTAAAACTATCCTTTGTTTAAACATGTCAATTCGTAGGTGGCAATTTGGATATATTCATATACTCTTACATGACAGCACATTAGCTGCTTTAAAAATAAGGGTAGTGCAGTAAAAAAGTACAATATTTTCCACTGAAACGTAGTGGAATAGAAGTATAAAGTGACATAAAATTGAAATAAAGTAAAGTACCTCAAAATTGTATAAGTAACTGTATGTAGTTTCCACTGCTGCTAAACGTCAAACATACAGTAGGGTCCAAAACTGTATAAACAAAAGAGTTGTGCAGCAAAAATCTTTGTATAGATTAAAATATGTTATTGCATTGTAATAACATCAACTCATCCTGGCCTCTAGGTGGCGACACCGACTGTTCACTTGTTTTTACAGGTTCTCAAGCAGCCAATCAGAGCATTCCTCTTCAGAAACAGCTGATAAGTCACCTTCGCCAGTTTAGAGGGAAAATGAAGCTAAAACCTTTGTTTCGGAGGCTGAAACCTAAACATATGAAAGGTACAACACATTCAGATCACCTGAAACACAATTACACAAGAATCCGGCCTTTAAATCTGTTTGTGATGTCGAAGTGACGGATGAGAAACCGACAGATTACCGGCTTGTGTTCCTTTGTTTTCTGATATTTTAACAGTTTTCGGATCCAAAACCGTTCATGTCAGCTCTAGTTTTCATACCTGACACTACCTATGACAGCTCTAAATTCCGAGTTACAATAATATGTGGCATAAAAAATGTTTTTTTGGCGCTAAATTGTCATGGTGACTACGCCTTTATGTTACAGTAAACACCTAAAAGCGCGGCAGCGGGAAACGGGCCACAAATAAACATAAATACTATCCCATACATATAATAGTCACTGTACTGTAATCTTAAACAAAGACAGATTGGTGTCAGACACTTTAAAATACTGGAATAAGAACGAAAATACAGTTTAACGTCGGTTCATATTTATCCACTCTAACTTGACGGAATATTTGGTTGCAAAACCAAATTATCAGATATTCAAACCACTATGTGTTTACATGACAATTTAAATGCAGATTAAACAAACAATTTATGTTTTATGTTTCTCTTAATCCGCTAATATTTTATTACGGAAATCAGATTCACTTACTATGGCGACTTCAACATTAATTTTAACTTTATGACTCTGTTTTATGACAGTCAAACGCCAGTTTAACAGCTTTCAAGTGTCAAATATATATGTTCTTTTGTCATGAGAAATGTTTCGTAAGCGGTCATTTTAATAGTTTTATAACACCGGTTTCGGGCAATTTCGTAACCCCGCACAAACAAAGCCGTTTGAATTTCCCGCAGTAGTTCAGGTGTCACGTGAACTCGGCTCGCAGCCTGATTGGCTACGTCGCAGCGTCAGTTTAAAGAGCCAGTGCGAGCTGCGTTTTCATTGGCCGGCCGCGTTCTAGCGCCAAGATTTCAATAAAAAGGCGAGGGGACAACAGAATCCACTTCAGTCTTTGCTCTTCGTCTGTGTCAGCTCTTCGTTAGCTTAGATTTACGCTTTCCTCTTCTTACATTTAGTTTCTTAAGTTATATTTTATTTATCCGAGACCAAAATGCTTACTGCTCGCAATCCTCTTACCGTCAGGGATGAAAACACACTCAGCAACCAGACCAGCAACATGTCGCTGGACAAAGAAAACACGGTGAGAAGAAAAAACCCTAAAACTTACGTTTCGTCTTCTTTTGAATGTTCAATTCTTGTTAACGTAACTACACTTAACTTAACCAGACGTTTATTTAAGTTTAAGGCGTGTTTAAGTTAAACGTAGTGGCAGCCATTTCCTGAGCAGTTCAGCCTAAGTGACTCAGAATTAATCAGTATTTGTCTGACGTGATGAAATCAAACATATGGACTAGGTATTGACGCTAGTTTCTGGTCACTTTAATGATTTCTGGTCATTTATCTTTAAAGCCTCCGAGTCTGAACACCACCCGCATCCTGGCGTCTAAAACCGCGCGGAAAATCTTCGACGATGCTGAGGTAAGTGACTGAAAATCTGCTGAAACCTTCAGTTTGTTAAACTGATCTACCAGACGGATGATCTATATTCATATTAAAGTCAGTGACCGGAATTTTTCTTGTGTATTGTGCTCACATGGCGCTTAAAATGTCGGTTCTGGCGCCAACGTGGACAGTCAGCTGCCACTGATAAAACTCAGCTGTCGCTCCTACGGGTTTTATTCATCAGAGGTCGTTTGCCAACATTTAGAAAGTTTATCAAACATTAACATGACAAAGTCTTGGCGATAAGAGGTTATTCTTCTCATAGATGTGTGCAGGTTTTAGTCACATGCAAACTATATATCAACACTGGATAAGTTCTCATCAATAACAGCTGATCTTAGATCAATAATCATAACTGTTGTAATCTTCATGTAATAGAAGATGTGAAGCATTTATCTGACTGGCATTTGTGTCTCAAATATTATCTGAGACATTAGGTTTCGATTAATAAGTCAACCCCAGCATTATGCGTTGAACTGTGTTGAACCACGGTTTAATTTGAAAGCAGCCCAAGTGAAATTTGACCAATTAAAGCATCAAAATCAAAGCGTCATCAGACCAGTTATAAAATGTGTAGCAATGAGTTTGTGGTTGACATTGTTTGTTTTTCAGCCCAAAGCAGTGAAGAAGAGCAGCAGCAGTCAGGAGGAGCCGCTGCTGAAGGAAAACCCTCGCCGCTTCGTCATCTTCCCCATCCAGTACCACGACATATGGCAGATGTACAAGAAGGCCGAGGCCTCGTTCTGGACCGCAGAGGAGGTACGCATGAACGCCGCTGCATTCACAAGTGTGCAGTACTGGAAGTGTTGCTGTGACCCTGGTGTGGTCATCTTCATGTGATGCTAACGTCTTGTTTGTTCAGGTGGACCTGTCGAAGGACCTGCAGCACTGGGAGTCTCTGAAGGACGAGGAGAGGTACTTCATCTCTCACGTGTTGGCGTTCTTCGCCGCCAGCGACGGCATCGTCAACGAGAACCTGGTAAGGACGACCGGCCTTAAGCGTGAAACGTCCCTGACAGCAGGACGGTGATTGTTGATGTGTTACTGGTTCGGGATCAGCTCTGACTCCCCAGTCCATCTGAACAGCTGTCAGGCATCACACCGTCTCCTGCTGCTGTGTGATTCTGTTTTAAACATCAACCAGCCCGTGTCCTCATCTCGTTGTTTCACTCTGTGACCACCAGGTGGAGCGCTTCACACAGGAAGTGCAGGTGACAGAGGCCAGGTGTTTCTATGGTTTCCAGATCGCCATGGAGAACATCCACTCTGAGATGTACAGCCTCCTCATCGACACCTACATCAAGGAGCCCAAGGAGAGGTGAGCTGATCCTGGCACTCTTACTGTTCTTGGTGGTTGGTATACTGTTGTCTCTACTGGCCTTTACTCTTGTCTGCACTGGTTTCTACTGTCTGACGGTGTGTTCACTGACCCTCAGGGAATACCTCTTCAACGCCATTGAGACTCTGCCATGTGTGAAGCAGAAGGCCGACTGGGCGCTCAACTGGATCGGCAACAAGGGCGCCAACTACGGTAAACCTGCTCCCCGGGACTCCACATGATGTTTGTGCTCCTGGGTGATCAGGTTTGATATTGATCAACTATATCTGTTATTGATCCTCCAGGAGAGCGTGTGGTGGCCTTCGCGGCAGTGGAGGGAATCTTCTTCTCTGGTTCGTTCGCTGCGATCTTCTGGCTGAAAAAGAGAGGCCTGATGCCCGGCCTGACCTTCTCCAACGAGCTCATCAGCAGAGACGAGGTGACGACCCCACACTGATGTTACACTTCATCTGCTTTTTAAGAGACCATCCATCAGCTGAATTAGTTTTCTCTAAATTTGTTCTTTATTCCTTTTTCTGCTGTTATCCAGCTCATGTTTAATGATTAATCAATAATGTCTTTAGCAATTATTGTTTTTATATCTGGGAAGTGCTGGAAAAATGTGATATTCTTAGACTTGGTGAATAATTTGAGGCCTCATCGTCCCTCCTGGTCTTTATTGACAGTTTCTGCAGGTTCATTAAGTTTAAGACTTTTTTAAAACCAGAGTGAAATTTAAACCCTGTTTGATGGTTATACTGGTATAAAGGTGTGAACCAGCAAGACCACAATTTATTTACATCACCTTTTGTCATATATAAAGTCAGAGGTCTGGGGAATTTCCAGCCAGTTTTTGCTGAAATCAGACAAATCGTTTCATCATTGGCACTTACACTTTATCACCATTAGAGAGAATATTTTAAGACTTACAATACCTTCAAAGATCTTTTTAATAAACTTCATTCAGTGCTTTTTAAGGACTTTTAAGACCTGCAGATAATTATATCGTTCATATTTTGGCCAGTTTGACCATGAAATGTTTTGTTAAATTAAAATTGAATCCTTGTTTTAGCTTTGATTTTTGCCTCAAATCAAATGTCTTGAGTTTTCTGTATGGATCTGCCTGTTCGTATAATTTAGTGTGGTGGTCTAACTGTGTGCTGGTTTCAGGGTCTGCACTGCGACTTCGCCTGTCTGATGTTCAAACACCTGGTGAACAAGCCGTCAGAAAAAACAGTCACCAACATCATCAAGAACGCCGTGGAGATCGAACAGGTCGGTCGACAGCGACACAAACGGATGAATGTGAAGATCCTGAACGTTTCTGTCTGGTTCATCGGCTTCTTCTGGCCGTGGATGCTTTAACTCGGTTTGTTGAACTGTTGTTTTGTTTATGCTCAGGACTTTCTGACGAAGGCTCTGCCCGTGAAGCTGATCGGGATGAACTGTGAGCTGATGAAGCAGTACATCGAGTTTGTAGCTGACAGACTGATGCTGGAGCTCGGCTTCTCAAAGGTAACAACACCCCGGCTGAACCGCAGCTCCTGGTAGATCCAGGTGATACCTGGAATGAAGTCTTCATTATTCCTGCTCAGCTGGTTTGAACATGCAGGCCTCTAAATGTTTGTCATGTAGATTGAATTAGTCCCAGAAACGGCTGCAGGCTGATCAGCTGCTTCCAACCAGCACAGCCAGGTTGAACATGTGATGATGATTCACAGCGTCTGCTGGATCCAAAAATTCAGCAATTCAAAAAGTGAATTAGACCGGTTTAAGTGATATTTTAAGTCTAGCATTCCAAGCGTTGCTGTTCCTCATCAGACTGTTGATAAGACACGATGAAGGCTTAGATCTGACTCTGACACTTGCTGCCACTCTAACAGACAGTCACTGTAACTTGTGCTGCGTCAGAGACAAGTTTGGTCATTTGTTCTCCTGCTGTTGGCACAAAGTTTTATAATCGGAGGTCCCTGGTGTTATTTCATTGAAATATGACTTTAACTCTTCCTAGTTTAGGTCACCTATACTCACCTGATAAGTAGGCCGAGTTTAAACTCAGAGCAGCTGCTGTAGCGGCCTCCTGATCCTGGTCTGTACTGTGTAGGTTTGTAGACGAGGATCAGGTCTGTGATGATGAGAGGCGCAGGGGTACGGACCTCAGCCGGTAATGGGGGCTGAGTGTTGCTGCACACTCTGCTCAGAGAACAAGTGGTTCACTGACAGACGACAGCAACACGAAACAGACGCCAGACTGAACAGACCTCAAAAAAGTCCTGCAGTGCTCCGGTTCACGTCTGACAGTAGACCAGGTGCACTATAGTGCAACTGCTTTATAGTTATACAAAGCAAGTCAGAGCTTCACTCTGAGGGGGAACTTTACCCCTCAGGCTTCCGGACAGAACACTCATTTTCAGATCGTTTTCATGTGTCCACCAGAGAATAAACTGACCTCTGCTCTGTCTCGTGTCTCTGCAGATCTACCGGGTGGAGAACCCCTTCGACTTTATGGAGAACATCTCCCTGGAGGGAAAGACCAACTTCTTTGAGAAGCGAGTGGGCGAGTACCAGAGGATGGGCGTCATGTCGGGCCCCACAGACAACACCTTCAGGCTGGACGCAGACTTCTGAGGACAGAGGTGGAGCGATCCACACTCAGTCACACATTTCAAAGAGAGAAACCAGGTGATGATGAAGGCCATCGCTCCACTCTGTAGGAGGACAGCGGTTTTATGATCTAAATTAACATAAGCCTGTCACCCAGTGCATTCTGAGACTCGCCTGAGCATAAAGTCTAGAGCACAAAGAGATAGGCTTTCAGTGTTGTATAGAACATTTTATGAAATGTTCTGCACCTCAGCAGAATTGTGATGAATTAAAACTTCATCTTATCTTTTATTGTAAACCATCAGAGCATTGAGGCCGTTTTGGTATTTGTACGGTAAAACTAACTTGTGTTTTATCTGCCCATTTGTAATGACATGTAAACTCCAGATGTGTATATTAGAACTTTTAGATCAGTTTTGTATCGTAGGTTACTTTTGTGAAATATGTACAGTTTGAGTGTTTTTAATGCTGGTGTTTTGATTTTGTAATTAAATGTGTCTGTGTGTATATAAACCTGATCATAAAAACCTGATCAGTTTATTTTGCCTTTTTTCAAAGCTTTTATTTACAAAAGAAGCTGATTATATTTCTTTTTTTTCTTCTTTTTTTTTTTTTAGTTAACTAGCTTGATTGTTAATGGATTTATAGTATTACATATCAACTTGTACCTGAGACCTTGAAATCAAGTTTTGATTAGACTTGTGCTGTAGCTGTGGTATAAGCCTTAAAAGCCTTTAAGTATATAATCTCGTTTTCAGCCAAATGCTGCCAAAACTGAGGTTTTGTTTTGCCTAAATGTGAAACGGTTCATTGCCTTGAACAATATTTCAAGTGTTGTGTTATATCATTTTACAAAGATTTATATCAGCATTGTAATATTGATTCCTTAATAACATGTCAATCAGGCCTAATAAGCATTAGCTTTGCTGAGGAAAGGTTCAATTTTCTTTGAGGTCTTAATGAGCATTAAATATCATTTTTAAAAAAGCAGCATTAAAAACATACTGAGTCATAAAATTACTTTAGGTGTTTTTTTTGGGGGGGGTTGTCTTCATTATATTTACAGTGAGAGGGTTACAGGAAAACTGCAGAGAGGGAATGACATGCAGCAAAGGGCCACATGTCAGATTTGAAACCAGGACGCTATGGTAAGGACAAAGCCTAAATGGTTTTCGCTCTACCAGGTGAGGCATAAAAACGTCATAGTATAGCAACGCATAAATTATAGTAAGATATAAAATATAGTGTGTCACCAGCAGATCAAAGTTTTTTTTTTTCCCCACTGCTGGTAACAAAGCATGAATCAAACTCCTAAACAGGTTCATGTGGTTAGTTTATTTGATCTGGTCACAAATTAACAGGAAGAACGGTTATAGAAGCACATACTGTAGATCAGTCGATTGATATGTTTCAGGATGAAACTATGTTGAGTCATTAATATATTCTCTGATTTTAATATAAAGATGTTAAGTTGTTGTAAAGTTGTATAGCAATAAGACTTGTTAACTCCTAACACTGCTCGGTTTAAAGGATGTGAGGTTATTATTGCAGCAGGCACTTCCTACCAATATATACATTTTACATAGATTGTGAAAACAGGTTCAGCGGATCTTGATGTCCAGCAGCGTGACGTCTCCCAGCACCTCCACCTGGTTGATCCGGCTCAGGTCCTTGACTCTGTGTTTGTAGTCCAGCTGGTGGAGCCCATTAACAGCAACTCTGAACTGCTGAGAGTCACAAAGGATGATCATCTGCAGAGGAAACACACCAAAATCATGAGGACAGAGAAGGTTCAAAGGTCCATGACGCTGATTTTACATGTTACATTAACTATGAATTTATTCATTTATATCATGCTGATCCCTTTCTCTTCTTGCTGATTCTCATAGAATGAACTAAAACCAAGAGACTCATCTGAAAAGAACAAAATCCATATAATGCCTGATCAGGGACTTCAAAAAATGATCAGCGGGAAACTAAAATACACAATAATATAAATTAAACAATACTTGTTATAATTTCCCACAGCCCAAAGCGATGCCTTCAGGTGTCTCGATAAAACCCAAAGAAATTCGAATTCAAAAAGTATCAAATCCTCAGATTTGAGAGGCCAGGACCAGCAAATTTTTGGGCATTTTGCTTTTAAGAAAAAAAAGACAAAAGCAATTATTAGGATATTAAAAACAGTTGCTCTCAAACACTGAAAACTCTGAAAACACTTTAAATATTCAACATGAAGAATGTGATTTAAAATATCAGAGGAAGACAGCTGCCCGGCATGTTTTGTTGAGATTTACATGTAGTCAGTCTGACTTCTTGATATGTTTTAGTAAGAAAGAAAATTATTATGACATAGAAATGTATAATTTGTAATTGACTGGAAGGTCAAGCAAAAGAGCTACATGTAGAGTATTTACGTCTAAGAACTCTTTCTAAAGAAAACGAGCCTAGCAGATGTCAGTTTTTGACTTTGGCTCTAAAAAGTTGTGATGGCTGTTTTTACCAACTTTTTGACATAAACAAATAATTGATTAATCAGTAATAAAAAAAATCTTCAAAGAGTGCTGCTTTTCACAGTGTTTTTCTTAATTAATCCACTAGTTGTTTGTTAAATATAACAAATTCCCAGTGCACAATGAGATATCTTCAAATTGTTTACTTTATCTGTCTCGTGTGCAGGGTCAAAGGTCATGATGTACCTCAAAGTATTGTCCTGTACTGAAGGGGAAGGAGCCCAGCTTTGTTTCCTCAGGGCCCCAGCACTCTGACAGGAAGGAGTTTCTGACGAAGGCTCGATGCTTTAGACGAGGGTTCAGATGAAGAGCAATGTCGCTGCTGCCCGCCGTTCGCAGGTTCACACCGAAACTGAAGGAAACATGTCGGAAACATGTCGGAAACACAGCAGAAAAACAGAAATGTTCAAACGACTGATTTTTATCATCTCTAAATGTTCAGGATCCTTCAGTTGTTTTTATCCACATAAAGAATTTTTTTCCTTTTTTGTTACTTTGTTTCAACATTTAAGTTATTAGTTAGTTTATGTCAGAATGAATGAATAAGTAGTGAAAGTAAAACATCACTCTGTAAAAATACTCTGTTCCAAAAGGAATGGAGTATAATCAGGAAAATGTACTTAGAGTATCAAAAGTAAAAGTACTCTTCCTCCACCACAGTTTTTTTCTGGTCATGAAAAGTGCTGCTAACGTCATTCAGGTGATGTTTACCTCTGTGCTTTGTGAGTGGTTTCTGCTTTGATGGTGATGCTTCGTCCGACGCTCAGTCCTTTACCCAGATCACCTCTGAAAGGAATACTCTGCAGAAAACAAGGTTTCATCAGTCAAGAGCCAGTGTAAATACTTCAAGCTCACTGCTGCAGTGTCTCATCGACATTATCTCAGCTATAGCTGCAGTGATTAATTGATTTGTCCATCGACACAAAAATAACTGAAACATTTTTCAAGCAAAAATGGCAAATATTAGCTGGTTGCAGCTTCTAAAATGTGAAGATTTGACACTTGTATGCCAGTAAAGTGAATCTCTGGGTTTGGGCAATTGGTTGGACAAAACCACATGTGAAGAGGTCACCTTGGAGTTTGGGAAAGTATAAGAGGTTGTTCACAATGAAATTGATGGGACATTTCTGGTCGCCCAAAACAAGACATTTGAAGAGGTCATCATGGCATTTTCTGCCATTTTTTAGACCAAAACCGAATCAATCAACTGAAAAATGAATCAGCAGATTAGTAGATAAGGACAATAATCATTGTAAACCATGTAAACCTCTAACTGAAACTCACCAAGTCGCCTGACGAGTCGCTTACCAGCTGGAAGAGGAACAAACAAGAAAATCTGTTTAAATACAATCATAGATAACAATTAACATAATGTTCCCCCATTCATCATTTATAATCAGTAAGTAAACATTTTAAGTGTTTGTTCTACATACTTTATATTATAAAGTTTATAATAATTTACTATATTCTCGTTCATTTTCCTTTTATACAGCAGCCTCCACTGATGTGTGTGTCCACAGGAGGAGTTAGAGTTGTTAACAAATACATTAACCAAACTTAGGTCTGATTAAAGTTGCATTACAGTCTGTTAGAAACCATTTTATAAACTGATTATACAGGATAAATAGCTGGATTTAAAGTAAAGTACCAGAACTGTTTCCGCTGCAAACATCAGACAGTTAATTATTTGTCCTTACATTCATCTCTGAGTCCTGGCTGGTCAGACTGGCTGCAGGAGACACTGAAGTCTGAAAAACAACAAAGCCAAAAACAACAGCTCATAAACTTCATCACAAGTTTCATCACATGAAGAAAAAACAACAAACTTTACTTTTATCAGATGCTGTCGTCAGAGAGCAACTCACAGAGCTCGGGGGGAGGACGCCCACAGCGTCAACTTTGATCTTTCCAGAAATGTTGAGAGTGTCGACTCGCTCCAGATCCACTCTGTGTTTGTACTCTAACACGTGTCCTCCGTTCACAGCCACCTGCAGCACAGACAGCACAGTACTCTGATCCTGCACTGCAGTACAAGTACTCTGATCCAATACTGTAGTACAAGTACTCCTGATTAATCAACTCATGGTTGCAGCACTAATCTAAATTATTGACAAACCTTGAGTAGTAGATAGTAGCTGCTGCTTTTGATCATATCACATGATCTTCATCAGAAGATACAGTATGCAAATGTAGATGTTTCTGCTGCCTCCAAAGCTTCTAACTCTACTGATATCAAATGTGCTCCAGATCAGCCACCTTATTGATTTGTCAACTGCTGTTTCAAGAATTAAAGTTCAAATCTGGCTTATTGTTTTCAGATGCAGTTTGAGAGGTTTGTTTACATGATGTCTGTAAACACAGCAGGAATAGTTTCTATCATCTTACAAACAAACATTTCAAACTCTTCATTTTGCAGGGCAATTTACTGGGAAATGAATCAAGAGCATCAGTTTAAGCATCCTGTGGCAGCCGAGCTCTCACCTTGAACTTGTCTTTCAAGATGAGGATGATGAGTTCAAAAGCCCCCCCGGCAGTGAAGGGATTCTGGCACAGGATCTCCTCTCTGCCCCAGCGCTCTGTCTGCAGTGTGTTGCATACGATACACGGTGACCTCTTAAATCTCGGGTTGAAGTGAAACGCCACGTCGGCCCTCGGCTTCACGCTGTTGCCACATGTGAAGTCCACCTGAAACCTGCAAGACAGCGCAGAGGGACGACAGGTGAGTCAAACATACAGAAGAAAAATCTGCATCATTTCAGATTTAAAACAGGGTTTCAGTTGTTTCTGGTGTTCACCAAATTACATTTTTGTCTGTACTTCCAAACTGCGTAGGACAATAAATCCTACGAATATAGTTATTCAATTAACATGACCTGGAGCCATGTATGGATTACTGAACAATCCTACAGGGCCGAATGGTCAGAGGGCCCCTGGACCAGAAACTCTGTATGAAGAGACAATTAATATTTCACAAAGCCCAGTCAAAACACACAACACAACCACAAAAAAGACAAAAAAAACCCCACAAATAGACACAATACGACCACATGGGAGGGGCCTTTAACATGTCTCATAATCGGTCCATGTTTGGACCCAGATAAACAACAGAAAACTGATGGATAGATTAACCAATTAAAAAATAAATAATTTCTAATTTGCATTTTTATGAGTGGGCGAGCTGAATGACTGAGAAAAATATTGAAGACATTTGTGAATGAAATTGAAGGCTTTTTACATCTTAACAGCCTCTTTTTTTGAAGGAACTGAATTCAATGCTTTCTAAGACTTGTGGAGACTGGAAAATAATATTTAGTCATGTCTGTTTGTAACGAAGCTGTAAACACGAGCGGATCATGCCGGTGTTAAAGGTTAAACAAAGTTCTGTGCTTGATAATTTTGTGTTGCGTGTACTCACCTGTCAACATTAGATGGCACTGAGCCCTGAATGAGAACCATCTCCCCCGGTAGCAAACCCCCCAGGATTGTCCCAGCGAAGGGAATCACCTGAAGAGAAAAACATGTCAGATGTAGGCTGTCAGGTGAGAGGGACCACACTAAACACATACAAACATATGATGAGAACGAAGGAGATTCAGAAGAAATGAAGAAAAGTTTTGTGACAGAGGCGGAAAGAAGGATTTTGTGTTTGAATTCGACATCAAACATCATTTAACCTGCAGACAGAACAGTCTAAATAATACATAGAAGATATCTCTGCAAACATAAACTGGCTCAAATGTTTAGAGGGTCAGATACGACCTGCTTTTGTTGTCATATATGACCCTTTGAGCCTTTAACCGTCATGTTGTAATGTTAGTAAATTGATATTTTTAATGTGAGGATTTGATGCTTTTCTTTATTATATGTGAGAGTAATCTGAATATCTTTGGGTTCTGGGCTGCAGATTTCTGCGGAAATGTCATGAGGCATTTTTAACTATATGAAGACATTTTATAAACAAAAACTTCAACAACTTATCCAGAAAATGATCTTCTTACGATTAATTGAAAATTAAAGTAATAATTAGTTCCAGACAAATGCAAATTAAAAGAAAAAACTTAGATTACACTGATATAAACCAACTGCATTTTTTACATAAAAATGACTAAAAACACATCTACCTCTAAACGTTTTGTATCGCCACACCAAACTTCATTGGAAATTGAAGGTGTTTCAGTATTTCCTACTGTGTCTGCAATTGTTTAAAAGCGACACGAGCAGAGTTAAGACTGTACATTAATTAAATCAAATTAAATCGCTCTCTCCGGCATCGGAAAACACCGAGCTGGGCTCATATTCTAACAAAATGACTCGTAAATAAAGAGTCCAACTGGACTCTGAGCAAATTTGCTGAAATGAAGTTATTTAGTGGAAGACATGTATGACACATTCACCATGAATAATATCAAGTCGATAAAAGTACTTCTTCCACGTTATACGACATTACAGCTGATGATAACGAATTAAAGTGAGCGCTTAGCTGAGATACTAGCTAGCCCGCTCGCCGACAAATCCTCGATAAATTGTCAATTAAACGGTCATGGCGACAATGAAAATGAATCGAAATAGATAATGGTGATTAAGATGAACAAGGTAGGTGTCTTACCGGGTTTAAAAACGTCTGTCTCGGGTTTGAAATCGACATTTTGGAGCAGAACAGCTGGAGTCTGCGGCTAGTTTGTTTTTCTGTTTACTTCCTGATCAAACGTCAGCGCGGTTCACAGTTACAAGGATGAGACAGAGAAGATTTCGGTTATTACACATGACTAAGATGTTTTATTAAATTAAAATTTCATTTAATATAGCAGTTGATTAACACGGTTAAAATTGCCTGTTAGAAACATGATAGTTGCTGTTTAAATACTTTATTTTATTGCCGATTTGGAGTCGGCGTGATGACACAGTTGTCGGCTCCTTACAGAATGCAGAGGTTTTGTAGGTCAGTCTTCTCATTTCAATAATGACTTACTTACCTCAACCCAGTTTATCGGGCAGGTCAAATAACCTCAGTGTGACTTGGTGGTTTCATTTTTCATTTCCAATAAGAAACGACAGGAAAAATATCGATTTAATTCATAATTTATTTGTTTAAAGTGTGGTCATTAACTCAAATGTAAAGTTCTTGGTGTCTGATAAACTGGAAATGTTTAGCCCTAAACGCTACATACAAAGTTTCATACATTTTGATGAGTAATTTACCGTCTCTCCTCAGTAGTTTAGTAATATTACGCTTCTTTTTGGTAGTTTTAGGACTTTTTAGTATTTTTACATCTTTTAGTCATTTCATGTCTCATTATTTGGCTTGATTCAGTTTGACATATAAACAAAGAAGAGCAGGGGTCTTGTTCATAGGCTGTAACAGACTGATTTGCCAGTTTCCTTTAGAAAATGTGAACAAATGGAAAAAAAAAAAAAAAAAAAAAATCAGCCAGATATATCGGCCAATATTACACGTATTGCAGTTGCACTCAGTGTGTTATCATTTCTCAGCCTAGACCAATAATTTCAAGAAAAGAAAGTAAATATTTGCCCAAATGTTTTTGCCTTAAACTATTTAGATAGATGCTTTAATTATCCCCCAGGGGGAGATCATGTGTCCATTAGCTCATTGTTGATTTATTCATTAATTTAAAATGTGAAAAACTCTAAGTTAAACCTAAAGCTCTCTGTTGCGTTTCAACCCAAATTATCAACGGACACATGGAAATGAACAGAATCAGGGCTTTGACTAAGCACACTTTATCATTTAAAATTTTATTACAAAAGAACTAAACATCTGTACAAATTGAACACAAGCAACATAAAATTCCTTTATAAAAACATACTAATATATCAGATTTTATGAAGAACACCAAACTCTAAAAAGTTAGTTTACACATAAGGAGGTAAAAAAGAAAAACTAATATATATATATATACACAATTCTGGTCCATGCTTTACCAAGTTATCAAGTTAACTGCTGAATTTAAGTTGCAGATCCATGGGCTGCAGTATCCTTATTGTCTGAAAATCTCATTATTATCATTGTTATAATAATAACCACCCATCAGCTGACAACCCAACATAAATTAAAATGGTCCTGTACAACAGTGATGATCCATCTGTTTCTACACTCAGTATATCCACCTGTGGATTTTCATCCAGTTAATAACACATTTTGACCTTTAATTTAAGAGTCTAGTTTCCTCCCAGAGTGGAGCGATGGCCTTCATCATCACCTGGTTTCTCTCTTTGAAATGTGTGACTGAGTGTGGATCGCTCCACCTCTGTCCTCAGAAGTCTGCGTCCAGCCTGAAGGTGTTGTCTGTGGGGCCGGACATGACGCCCATCCTCTGGTACTCGCCCACTCGCTTCTCAAAGAAGTTGGTCTTTCCCTCCAGGGAGATGTTCTCCATAAAGTCGAAGGGGTTCTCCACCCGGTAGATCTGCAGAGACACGAGACAGAGCAGAGGTCAGTTTATTCTCTGGTGGACACATGAAAACGATCTGAAAATGAGTGTTCTGTCCGGAAGCCTGAGGGGTAAAGTTCCCCCTCAGAGTGAAGCTCTGACTTGCTTTGTATAACTATAAAGCAGTTGCACTATAGTGCACCTGGTCTACTGTCAGACGTGAACCGGAGCACTGCAGGACTTTTTTGAGGTCTGTTCAGTCTGGCGTCTGTTTCGTGTTGCTGTCGTCTGTCAGTGAACCACTTGTTCTCTGAGCAGAGTGTGCAGCAACACTCAGCCCCCATCACCGGCTGAGGTCCGTACCCCTGCGCCTCTCATCATCACAGACCTGATCCTCGTCTACAAACCTACACAGTACAGACCAGGATCAGGAGGCCGCTACAGCAGCTGCTCTGAGTTTAAACTCGGCCTACTTATCAGGTGAGTATAGGTGACCTAAACTAGGAAGAGTTAAAGTCATATTTCAATGAAATAACACCAGGGACCTCCGATTATAAAACTTTGTGCCAACAGCAGGAGAACAAATGACCAAACTTGTCTCTGACGCAGCACAAGTTACAGTGACTGTCTGTTAGAGTGGCAGCAAGTGTCAGAGTCAGATCTAAGCCTTCATCGTGTCTTATCAACAGTCTGATGAGGAACAGCAACGCTTGGAATGCTAGACTTAAAATATCACTTAAACCGGTCTAATTCACTTTTTGAATTGCTGAATTTTTGGATCCAGCAGACGCTGTGAATCATCATCACATGTTCAACCTGGCTGTGCTGGTTGGAAGCAGCTGATCAGCCTGCAGCCGTTTCTGGGACTAATTCAATCTACATGACAAACATTTAGAGGCCTGCATGTTCAAACCAGCTGAGCAGGAATAATGAAGACTTCATTCCAGGTATCACCTGGATCTACCAGGAGCTGCGGTTCAGCCGGGGTGTTGTTACCTTTGAGAAGCCGAGCTCCAGCATCAGTCTGTCAGCTACAAACTCGATGTACTGCTTCATCAGCTCACAGTTCATCCCGATCAGCTTCACGGGCAGAGCCTTCGTCAGAAAGTCCTGAGCATAAACAAAACAACAGTTCAACAAACCGAGTTAAAGCATCCACGGCCAGAAGANTGGTAGATCAGTTTAACAAACTGAAGGTTTCAGCAGATTTTCAGTCACTTACCTCAGCATCGTCGAAGATTTTCCGCGCGGTTTTAGACGCCAGGATGCGGGTGGTGTTCAGACTCGGAGGCTTTAAAGATAAATGACCAGAAATCATTAAAGTGACCAGAAACTAGCGTCAATACCTAGTCCATATGTTTGATTTCATCACGTCAGACAAATACTGATTAATTCTGAGTCACTTAGGCTGAACTGCTCAGGAAATGGCTGCCACTACGTTTAACTTAAACACACCTTAAACTTAAAGCGTAAACTTCTGGTTAAGTTAAGTGTAGTTACGTTAACAAGAATTGAACATTCAAAAGAAGACGAAACGTAAGTTTTAGGGTTTTTTCTTCTCACCGTGTTTTCTTTGTCCAGCGACATGTTGCTGGTCTGGTTGCTGAGTGTGTTTTCATCCCTGACGGTAAGAGGATTGCGAGCAGTAAGCATTTTGGTCTCGGATAAATAAAATATAACTTAAGAAACTAAACGTAAAAAGAGGAAAGCGTAAATCTAAGCTAACGAAGAGCTGACACAGACGAAGAGCAAAGACTGAAGTGGATTCTGTTGTCCCCTCGCCTTTTTATTGAAATCTTGGCGCTAGAACGCGGCCGGCCAATGAAAACGCAGCTCGCACTGGCTCTTTAAACTGATGCTGCGACGTGGCCAATCAGGTTGCGAGCCACGTTCACGTGACACCTGAACTACTGCGGGAAATTCAAACGGCTTTGTTTGTGCGGGGTTACGAAATTGCCCGAAACCGGTGTTATAAAACTATTAAAATGACCGCTTACGAAACATTTCTCATGACAAAAGAACATATATATTTGACACTTGAAAGCTCTTAAACTGGCGTTTGACTGTCATCAAACAGAGTCATAAAGTTAAAATTAATGTTGAAGTCGCCATAGTAAGTGAATCTGATTTCCGCAATAAAATATTAGCGGATTAAGAGAAACATAAAACATAATCAACTTGTTTAATCTGCATTTAAATTGTCATGTAAACACAAAGTGGTTTGAATATCTGATAATTTGGTTTTGCCACCAAATATTCCGTCAAGTTAGAGTGGATAAATATGAACCGACATCAACTGTATTTTCGTTCTTATTTCAGTATTTTAAAGCGTCTGACATCAATCTGTTTTTGTTTAAGATTTCAATACATATTATTATATGTATGGGATGGTGTTTATGTTTATTTGTGGTCAGTTTCCCGCTGCCGCGCTTTCAGGTGTTTACTGTCATGTAAAGGCGTAGTCACCATGACAATTTAGCGCCAAAAATCATTTTTTATGCCACATATTATTGTAACTCTGCATTTAGAGCTGTCATGGGTGTTGTCAGGTATAAAAACTAGAGCTGACTTGAACGGTTTTGGATCTAAAAACTGTTAAAATATCAGAAAACAAAGGAACACAACCCTGTCGTTTTCTGCTCCGTCACTTCGACATAGCACGGAGATTTAAAGACCGGATTCTTGTATATTTGTGTTTCTGATGATCTGTATGTGTTGTACCTTTCATTTGCTCAGGTTTCAGCCTCTGAAACAAACGTTTTAGCTTCATTTCCCCCTCTCAACCTATACGTTATTAAACTGATTTCTTCACTGCAGGCGAAGCTGGTATAGCAACTGTTTCCAGGTTACTGCCGAAACGAGCTCTCCGATTGGCTACTCGGGAAGATAACGACACTATGTCTAAATCTACGTCATAGTCTGTATCTCCCCCTAGCGATCGGGATGATCTCATTTTCGAAAGATTGACATATTTGGGTCACATTGTTATGTGTCGATGTTACTTTGTCCGAGAAAGCTAGCTGCCAGCTTATTATGTTTCGACAAATAAAGAAAAATCTGTACTCATGAATGGGACAATTTATATTAGGAGTTAGTTTTAACATCCTAGAGCATAACACACATTTGAATTCTCCATTGTGTATAGGCTATATGATCTGTTATTGGCTAAATTTCATATTCTTCATATACGTTTTTTGTTTTCACCTAGTACGTTGACTAAATTATTTTTTTCATTAATCCAAAAGCTGTGAAAATGATCACTTCCTGCTTTTCGTTTTGTTGAGGTCATTGAGGGTTTTGTGCCTCTTATTAATTGCATCGCCTCTTTTTAGTCATTTGACATCTCTCTTTAGCCATTTAACAATGTTTTGTTTGATCTTATATCTCTCTTTAGTCCTTTACATCTGATTTGTATCTCTTTGTAGTCATTTGATTGACTTTACAACAAAAAATGTTAACAGTCACTTCCTACAGAAGTTCTAATCCAGGGTCCTGAACCTTTACCTGGTCACCCCTGGCCAGGTATAGATCCAGGTGATTCTGCCAATCACCTTTATGCTTTAAACTATAAATAAAGAAGAAGTTATTCCATTTAAAAAAGTGTATTTATTGAAATCCACAGTTGGTAATACAACAGTTTTTTTTTCATAACTATTGGACACAATGCAAAGCAGCACACAATCGTCCAATTAGCAAGTCTGTCTTTCCAGAGCTGATTGGATGAATTCATCATCCCCAAAGTGAAGGTAACATGATGAACGATTCATTCATAAAGTCCTGCATCCACATCTGGTCAACATCTGGAAACCAAAGTTCATCTCTGCTGATATCAGCTGCACCAGAGCTTTAGAGCTGCACTGTATTTTTAGACCTACAATTCCCAGAAGGCAGTGGTCAAGACAAGTCACCTATCAAGACATCTGTCTCCAGCACATCAGAAAACCTTCACATCAGTGATTATTTTCTCTTTATCTTGGTTTTGTGCAAAACTTCTGGGTGGATTTTTGTCTTGTTTTGATGAGACACAGATCTAACTAAAATAAAAAATAAGGCATTTATTGCTTATTATTATATCTCACATTGTTGACAGATGCCACAGGGTTTCTGCAAGTTTCACCGAATGACATTATAGACTTTTTAAGACCATTTGAGGATCAAGAGCATTAGGATGCAATTTAAAACTTTGAAAACAGCAGGAACAATAAGGCCTACAGTTATTTACTAAGTACATGAATTTATTGTCAAATATCACGTTTTCATCCCAACTGTATAAAACAACAATTCCTAGTTATAAAATTAATTAACTAATGCAACCTTGATGCAGATAAGGAGCAGAAAAATAGAAGGAGTGATTAATCACTTAGAAAATAATTTAATTGCTTAAATGTGAGTTTGACAAGTGATGTTCCAGTCTACAGCAGGCAAGACCAAATATTCAAGATCTTTGTAAATGAAATATAAGACTTTTAAGGCTTTTTCAGGGAAGTGAATTCAATGCTTTTAAAGACTTTTTTTTTTTAGATCTGTGTCAGTTATAGAGTGTTGTATCCACAAAGTTTTCTCCTCTTTAGTTCTGATTTTCCCATTGAAATTTGCTTTTTGAGTGGCTACAACACAAGGATATCCCATCTGCTGTATTTATAGACTGAAAACAAGTGAGCCACACAACTTTTTGACTGTCACAGCACAATCTTTATCTCAGGATACATCCACTGGTCTGTACTTCATGTGGGATCTTCACTAAAATGTAAAATAAAGTTTAGTTTGTTTGGAGATTCAGGTGGATTCACCAGAACCTGGTTACACCAGAAAGCTGTGAAATATTTGGTGCTTTAAGCTTGATGATGTACTTACTGTTTTGGTATTTTGTTCAACATTATTTACCAGTTTCGATAAATTGTGAGGAGGGGAGGAGAAAGAGAGCTCTCTCTACGCTAACAGTTCAGTTAGCAAATTCGCTCGTCCTGTAGCTTAGTTTGATCGCTAACAAGACAGTCTCAGCAGGTTTTTAAAAGCTATATTAGTTTGATTTCCTTCTGTTTCCTTCTTGTGTGTAAACCATGTCTCTGTTATGGAGCAGTACTCTGATGACAATAAACTGGATTTTGATGCACAGCTAATAAGCTACAACAGCTTCCTAAATTTAGGTTTGTGTCAAATAAAATGTGAACACCAAAATTAATAGTAGTAGTACAACAAAATTCATTCTTTTGTGAAATAGTGAAATATTTGGTCTAGAAGCTTGGTGATGTAGTGAACATATTGCAGGGCTAGTTGGTGAACAGCTGTACAGTGAGCTAACTGCTAAGCAAGCGGGGAACATGCTAGTGCAAGTCAGTTCTATCTATTTTCTCTGAACTGGACCCTCTGACATTTCTCAACAGTGTTCATCATGTAATTCAATAAAGAGTTACTCAAGAATGATTTAAAAAAAAAAAAAAGCTCCAAGACCTAGCTAGCAAGCTGGTTAGCTTGGTCACTAACGGGACAATAAGTTCACATATTTTATGCATGCAAACAACGTATTTGTACCATCCTAATAGCTTGTGGAGTTTGGCTCTATTTTCTCTCTACTGCCCCAGACAATTTGTTTACCACTCCACACAATTAAAAGAGGGAAGGAAATAAAGTTCCCCAATGCAAATAGCAAAAAGAAACTTCTGGCCCAACATATGCCTGAATCCTCAGCCCAAGTCTGGCCCATATACTTCCACATCTGGGCAGATCTAGGCTGTTATCCTCCTGTGTTGGCTGACAACTGGAAGATTTTCTGTGTGCGCCAGAATTTGTCCATATGTGACAATCATGCTGCATATGGATCAGATTTGCGTTCTCAGAACAGGGCATATACTGGGCCAGAAGAAACACAAGCATGTGGCGCAAGTAGGCTGGATATATTTTGCTTTCTGGGTAGCTAACAAGTGTTTCAAGTTAGCAAACTCCTTAGCTCGTTAGCTTAGCTCGGTTGCTAAAGGGATGATAACTTCACACAACTTATTCAAACATACAGACATACAGTATTTCTGCCACTGATTTCAGTGTCACCATTGCTCTTATTTTCTTTTATACTCTGACATAGGAGCTTCAATGAAACTGGATGATGACACACAGCTAATGAGCTACTTCCTCAATTTTCTATGCACTCAGGGACAGTTTGATACTGGTTAATGGTGCAAATTTATGTGGATTTTCTTCACCTTTTGCGAGCAACTCCACTGATTTTGCCATTTTAAATTCTGATGTGACCGGCCTTTAATATTCATTATTATCATTTAAAGAAGTGAACTCCAAGTGAACATGTGGCAGTATTGGTGCTTCGCTCAAAACAGGCTGATGAACTCGGGTCTGCAGATGTTCTATGTGGACCTCAGTCCTGATTCCTGCTTTACGTGAATCAAATGAAAACCTGAAGATTTATGCAGGTTAGCTCTTCTGATAATAACAGTCAGTCCTCATTATTCCACATAATCACTGAAAGACTTCACAACTAAGTTGCCTGGAGCAGCCACTTGATTTGTGAAAAAAAACAGTCAGTCGTGACTTTGGTCCTGGTTCGACTGCAGCTGAAGGCGGATGTCCATTTGGCACTGGACTAGCTTATTCTGGATTAAATGTCCACTGTGGCAGGACACAGAATTAACTTCATCAAGTCCACAGAGACTACGAAAGAGGGTGAAGTCAAGTTCCTGGAGAAATTAAAAAAAGAGGGTTTAACAAACAGAAGCAGAAGGTGAATGAGGACATAATATGGCTTTGGTCCAGCAGCAGTCTCACCTCAGATAAAGAAATGGTAAAACAGGTCATCCTGAATATTTAAAAGTCTGAATATTTTAGGTATTTTTGGCATTCATACTTTCTGGAAGCAAAAAGCAAAATAATTTGGCGACTTCTTCTTCATTCAAAACTCAGTTTTCAGTTTTTAATTTACACACCATCTTGCTTATCTTCCACATTCAAACCTGATCCTTTGCAAATACATTAACTTTATTTTTGTTTAAAACCCTCTAGAGTCCGTGAGCATATTTGTACCATCATAACTTCATTTAGATATCATGCAGAGACAAGCTGAGAAAACCAGTTGAAAATGCTGAAATTGAGCTTTTCACATAACATCCAATTTATATATAAAAACGGTTTTGAAAGAAATGTTTACAACTGTGAATTATGAATGTTTTCAGTTCTTAACTTCCAGACTTTCAATGAAAAAGGCACAAAAACCAGTTGGGATTAAATCACTTATAAATGTAAACAGACTCTATTATAGTTTCATTTACAACATTTTTCCTGCCGTGTTTGTGCGTATAAAAAGTGAAACAATATCTTTTACAACCTTAACCCATTCTATAGTAATACTTTGAGTCAATATCACTAAAGATTTGTATATTGGCTATTTATTTTGCATGTTTATTTTGGGTTCCTGACCTCTCTTTATTTTGTTAAATTGACATAATTTAAACCAGAAACGGTAGCTGAGTTTGTACTGAATGAAAATACACCAAGCATGTGAGGTAAGCACTGATTAAATAACAATGAATGCAGAGAAAGTCGGCAAAAATTGACCAAAAAGAACTGCAGAGGGTTTTAAAAACCACCAAATGTCATGTTTGACATAAAGAGAGAAGTCGCCTGTTTGCAGAAGAGACTTTTAGCAACTCTGGAGTAGTTTAGAGATTCAGATTTTTTACTTGAGTATTAACATTTTTGAGACATTCTACTATACCTCATCTACCTCTCAGAGATCAATATAGTTTTTTATACTCCACAACATATTTGACCCATGTAACAGGTCTTTAAAAAAATGGAATTAGCCATTTGACTTGCCCTGGAACGATAGACTCTGTCATGTCATCAGTCAATTTTCCATCCATTTTCCCATTTTGCGCAAAGTTGAAATGAACTTCCAGAAAATGGACAAAAGAAATTTGATTTTGTCTCTTCAGACAACAGGAAAAACATTTTGTGAAAACTGGTGTTTCCACTTTCACAGTTTTTTAATGCACAGATTGAAAAAAATATGCATAAATTCAGGTGGATGGAAACACACTCTATAGAGACCAAACTTAAACAAGGGTCAAACGGAGGTTAAATTTAAGTGTGGTCAGTTTGGTTCACACAGAGCTGAGTTTGACCAGCCCTCTGACCGAGTCCTCGTGCAGAGCGTCCTGACTGGCAGGATCGTAGAGGGTGGCGGGGCTGGGGACAGGTGGGTGGAGGTGCAGGTGGGCGGGGCAAGGCAGGGCGCCCTGCGGCGTGGTGCATGGTGTCTCCTCTGGACTGACGAGGTGATGGTGGTGGTGATGGTGGTGATGGTGGAGGTGGTGGTGGCAGTGAGAGTCGGCAGCAGCGTCCCTCATGGTCAAGACGTCTCCCCCGCAGGATGGCAGGGACTGCTGGGTGGGGGCCAGGTAGGCACAGGGGCCCCCTAGGGTGGTGGTCTTTCCTGGCAGAGGTGCCAATACCACAGGGTCGCTGTGGAGCAGAGGGGTGGCTGCTGCCTGGAGGACAAACTTGGTGCTCTGGATACACTGATCCTGATCACACTGAGACAGAGAGCAGAGGTTTGAGGAATTTGTCTCTTCTGATTCTGTGTTTTTTATCAGCTGCAAAATGGAAAGCACATTCCCCTTTACATTTCAGAGGGAAATATTCTACTTTTTACTCCACACCACTCCACGGTACTTCACAATAATCTGTGCTTCAGCTACTAGTTCCTTTTCAGATGAAGACTTTTAAAAACAAAACATAAAGAGTTTATAAAATATCTTATAACTTAAACTACCTAACTAACTAAACAGTATTAACAAGTCATTATTTGAACAAAAATTCCAAACATTTCATTGTTACAGATTCTCAAATGTGAAGATTTGCTGCTTTTCCTTTTATCGTTCTAATTCATTTATGACACTCCTGAGGTTTGGACAGTTGGTTGGACAAAACAAACATTGTTAGGGTGTCACTTTGAATTCGAAAAACCATTTTCTGAAATTTAATAAACCATACAATCATTCAATTATTCCACTGAGAAAATAATCAGGTTCTTAAATCATGATGAAAATAATCCTTACTTGCAGTCTGATATAAAATTGTTATAAATTATAAAATAAAATTTACAAGGCATTTATCCATATACATATGGGTATAGACGACCAGTGTGTCATCGTTAAGCCTTTTTTAAGATCTTTTGTCACTTAGCTATTCACTGTAACAGAAATTTTGACCAGGGGTGCCCAAATATTTGCATGCCGCTGTGTAAATGTTGGAATTTGTAACATGACTGGTTTTATCATATATAGAACTAGTCATGTTGAAGATTTCATGTGTGAAAGGAGTAAACTGTAATTTGCTGAATTAAGCAAAGCACAAATGATTGTAAATGATTTGTTTTTCTCTTCAGAGAAGCTGTGCATCTTTTTCCCTCCATGTCCTGATGATTTATATAATCTATCACGTCAGTATTGATCAACTGTCACTCTGGTGTACAGAGCCAGAGGTGGTGTGGTCCTCCACCTACCTTGTGACTGTGGAGCTGAGTGGAGGCGTAGCTGCTGCCACTGGTCCCGTTAGACTGGGAGGTGGTCTGAGGCGTGTCAGACCGGATCAGACCTCTCCTGTCAATCAAACTGGGACACAGGGAGATGTTGAGTCAGTTTACAGCAAAACTGTACCTCTGTAATTCAATTCAAATTCAAGCTTTATTGGTAAGACGTTCTGATAAAACACATTTTGCCAAAGTGTATTTTGTTTTCTTCGTCTATGCATTACATTTGCCGTCTCTTTTATGCAGACGATATGCTGATGTGCACAGCGGTGAAGCCATGAGCAGAATTACATGTCTGCACACTTTCTTCAACTAAACTCTGACAAAACTGAAACTGTTATCACTTCCTGCATCTACATGTTCAGCCAGCTCTTTGTTAGTAAGGTCATTCAGTCCTGTGTGGTTCAGTTTTTAGTTTAACTGATACAGATTTCTGTGATTTTATTTCTTCTCCATTGGATTACTGCAATTAAAGCCTCTTCACTGAGTTTCTCAATTTATAATGAGCCATTAGCAAAAGCTAGCCAGTCATATGCAATTATAAATGTTAATAAATCATTCATAAAATACTCCATCAGGTCTTCAGTTGTAAATGTTAATAATCAGTTTATACATGGATTGTGGCCCAGATGTGCTGCAGCTGTTCAGAAGATAGAAAAAAAGAAACAGTGTCTGTAAAACCTAGCAACCCAAAACTTGTTCTTATTAATGACTTATAAGTGATTTATGAAGCTGTAGTATATGATTTGTAAATTAGTAATACATCATATCAAGCCTTTGTGAATGGCATCTTATCACTTTTCTGTCTGTTTATTTGTCTATTTTTGTATTTAGTTTTCTGACAAACTAACACACCACCACCACCTCCTTTTAAAATGACTTTTTATTTGGGGAGATACAGGGGCTTGAGCAGGTGGGCAATGGATGTTCAAAAGTTAAATATCATATAGAAATAATAAGAAAAATTAAGCATTGCTGTTCCTTTGCTACTTGAGCTGAAAAAAAGCATGTGTTTGCAGATGGATGGCAGCAGGTGAAGCCAACATGTTAATAAGCTGTCAACACACACACACACACACACACACACACACACACACACACACACACACACACACACACCCACGCACACACAGACTGTGTAATGAATCAGTCTCCATATGTTCAGCCCTGGAAGAAGAAAAAACATCTCCTCCACCTTCTTCCTCTGCTAACACATGTTCTTATTTTGAAAATTCATCCCTCTACGATCCTTCCCTCAGGCAGCTTGCTCTCTGTCATCCATCATCCTTCATATATTTATTTTAATCTGTGCAGACTCCTCCGTCTCACCAATGATTTCATGTCAGCCTCCATCACACAATCTATCAATCAATCAATCAATCAATAATCAAACCATCTTTTTCCTCTGGTTACGACATTGGCACACAGCCAATCATCAGCACAAGCCTCAGGTGCACAGGGAGTGGACAAAATATCAGTATCATGATCTTAATAAGAATAATCTTAGTGTCAATACTTTATTATCGCCGTAAGTATGTGGACACCCAGGGGTTAGATTGGGAATGGTGAGGGGGGGGGGGCCCTTGGGGTGGGGTGGTTTCCACAGACTACAGAACTGTGGACAGTTTTCATAGGGACTACTTCTTCAGTAGAAAGTAGTTCCAGTGAAAACTATAGACACTGTGGTTGAATTGTCTAAGTGAGTGGTTTCCAGCCTTTTTCAACTCACGACCCACTTGAAAATCTCCAAAATGTTGGCAGCCCACATTAAACCCTGTAAAAATACAGAGGCCAAATGATGCCTTCTCCGAGAACTTTTTATTTTTAATGGTAACGATCGAACATTCAGGACTGAACTGAAAGCAGGAGAAACTCAATTTATCTTTTGTGTTTGACGGGGGAAGGTCACTTGTTGATTCATCATCTGTCTCTCGACTCTCTTTCCTTTTAATTCCTCCTGTTGCCAACCAGCTATCCATTTTGATACTTGTTTTTTCCCATGATGTAATCCTTTAATCAAACTGAGAGAACAAAACAAGTACAAGATGTGGTCCGGCAAACAACATAAAAGTTCCTGTCACAGCGATAAGCCTAAATTTGAGAAAAAGAACATGACTTTTTAAATATTTTGAATGTTTTTAAAGATGATTTTGTTTTAAAAATGTTATTTGTACATACAAATATGTATATATTCTTTCTATAAATAGATTCACCAAAATTGTACTGTATAGCAAATGATTTGTCGGTCCATTTGCAGTACCTTTGCAGGCCACAGGTTGGCAACCACTGGTCTAAATGTCATTTTGTTTAGACCTGAACCACAAATTAAATTCATTCACCTCCATTGTATCGGTGAAATATCACAGAGCTATCTCAAATTAAATCTATCTCTCTACATGGCTTTTTAAAAATTTTATTTACTCATTTATGTATTTGTAATTTGGGTGAAGCAACCCTTTAAATGGCATGCAGTGTATATTATAACTAAGAATGTATGGTAATATTTCCCAAATCCACTCCTCTTTTAATTATGCTTTGCTCCCATTAAATTTCAGACCAGCTGAGTGAAACAGTTCAAGCCAGCTACTCTGAGAAAGCAGTAAGGACAGAGGGGAAAGTGTCTGCAGATGGATCACACAGTTTATCCCAAATGCTGTAATGATGATATATGACAGAAGAAGTCTGTGGATGGAAACATAAAAACTGATGAGGAGGAGGCCGATATTATTCCTCTCTCTCAAAGATGAACTGCAGCGATTCATCCTGAGACTCTCTTTTTGATTAATTTTGCAGCTCAGTTCGTCGGCAGCGAAGGGGGACGGCGAGAAACTGTCTGAGAGGATGAGGAGGGAAAAGAAGAGTGTAATTATTTCAAGCAAGGTCTCAGCTGAAAACCGTCCTCATTAAACACAGAAACACACCGTCAGCTCAGGGAGGAGGAGGAGGAAGAGGAGGAAGAGAAAAAAATGAAGTAGATATGATGGAAGGTGTGAGGCGAGCTGTTTTCATAAAGTTTCAATATTTTTGTAATTGGTTGTCCAGTGGCTGAAGCTGAAGGAATAGGGAATAGAAGTGTTTACACACTTTACATTGATAGTACTGAGTTTAGTCCTGAGTTTGATCCTGAGTTAAGTACTGAGTTTAGTCCTGACAGTCCCAAGTTTGGTCCTGATTTTGGTCATGAGTTTAGTCTTGAGTTTAGCCCTGAGTTTAGTCCTGATAGTCCTGAGTTTAGTCCTGAGTTTGGTTCTGAGAAACTCAACTGGTTAATTCCTGATAGTCCTCAATCCTAAATTTAGTCCTGATAATCCTAAACTTAGTCCTAAATTCAATCCTGAGTTTGAATCTGACAGTCCTGAGTTTAGTCCTGATCATCCTGAGTTTAGTCCTGATTGTCCTGACTTTGAATCTGATAGTCCTGAGTTTGGTCCTTTGGTCTTGGATTTGGTTCTGAGTTTAGTCCTGATAGTCCTGAGTTTAGTCCTGATAGTCCTAGGTTTAGCCCTGACTTTAGTCCTGAATTTATTCCTGATCATCCTGACTTTAGTCCTGATCGTCCTGCATTTGAATCTGATAGTCCTGAGTTTAGTCCTGATCATCCTGAGTTTAGTCCTGATCATCCTGAGTTTAGTCCTGATCATCCTGAGTTTAGTCCTGATCATCCTGAGTTTAGTCCTGATCATCCTGAGTTTAGTCCTGATCATCCTGAGTTTAGTCCTGATCATCCTGAGTTTAGTCCTGATCATCCTGAGTTTAGTCCTGATCATCCTGAGTTTAGTCCTGATCATCCTGAGTTTGAATCTGATAGTCCTGAGTTTAGTCCTGATAGTCCTAGGTTTAGCCCTGTATTTAGTCCTGATCATCCTGAGTTTATTCCTGATCATCCTGAGTTTAGTCCTGATAGTCCTGGGTTTAGTCCTAACTTTAGTCCTGATCGTCCTGACTTTAGTTCTGATACTACTGGGTTTAGTCCTGATAGTCCTGGGTTTAGTCCTGACTTTAGTCCTGATCATCCTGAGTTTAGTCCTGATCATCATGAGTTTAGTCCTGATCGTCCTGAGTTTGAATCTGATAGTCCTGAGTTTAGTTCTGATCATCCTGAGTTTAGTCCTGATCATCCTGAGTTTGAATCTGATAGTCCTGGGTTTAGTCCTGAGTTTGGTCCTTTGGTCCTGGATTTGGTTCTGAGTTTAGTCCTGATAGTCCTGAGTTTAGTCCTGAGTTTGGTCCTGAGTTTAGTCCTGATAGTCCTAGGTTTAGCTCTGACTTTAGTCCTGATCATCCTGAATTCCTTCCTGATCATCCTGAGTTTAGTCCTGATAGTCCTAGGTTTAGCTCTGACTTTAGTCCTGATCATCCTGAGTTTAGTCCTGATTGTCCTGAGTTTGGTGCAGCAGAGGATGATACTGACCTGGGAGGCAAAGGTCCACATAGAGCAGCACAGCAGTTGGTCAAGATGTTTCCATAGCTGTAGGGGTTGTAGTTATCCTTACTTCGCTTGGTGGACCATGACCCTTTAATCTGAACCAGGACCAGACCAGGACCAGACCAGGACAGAAACACAGACATGAATGTTGGTCCAGTTAATAAACACAAATATGACCAGGTCAAAAACAGTCATTGGTAACCATTCTGAAATCAGACTAGTCCCCCTCCTCCTGGAGGGAGGGACCTCCCGTTGGTCGTCGGACCACAGTTTAAGGCTTTTTATACTCACATCTTCGTTGGTGGTCTGGTTGGAGCTGATCAGGTAGGTGTGGAACCCCGACAGACCAACAATCGACCAGACGGAGAAGAAACACACCACCACCTCCAGGACGGTGCAGAACAGAGTCAAGGACAAGACGTCATGTTTGGACTGTCATCACACATCTTTATGACTGGGATTTGAGAGACATGTGGTTAAAAGTTTGTGCTCAACAAAAACAAAGTAGATGATGCAAATTTTATTCCCTGAATGGTTAAAGTCTGAGCAGCAGAAGAGAAGATATCCTGACTTTTAGTCCAAAAACACAGGAGCCTACATTTATCTTTGTCTTTAATTAGAGCCTCCATGCCTGGCAAACAGCCATGTCTTTCAAACTCCACACCAAGTTTGTAACACTTCAAGTCCTAACTCTGGTTATTTTCTGCTACAGAGCCAAAGAAAACATCACACATCGGTTTCCACAGGCTGTACAGGATTAACTAAGACAAATAAACTGAATATCACACATGTAAAATGAGCGGGTTGACCCTTTATCACTATGTCCTTTTAATTGGTGAGCACAAATGAATCATTCAAGAGCAGAAAATAATCATTTGTGCACATAAATTATTTTAAAAATGTGATTTACTGATTTGTGTGCACAAATTGTTAATGTTTTACTCCATGACACCTGCCGGGTACATAAAATCCACTATAAGCAGGATTTGAACATTTCCAACTTTACTGTTTTACTTGTTGCAGTAGTATCAAAAAAGACAGTTTTAAACCTTCTAGAGATCCTGACCACCAATACTAATACATTTTATATTTGCGCATTGAATATATGCTACTCACTAAGAAAAAAATGATTAATTTTGAATGACAATTCTTCTTTAGATTTCGCAACCTGGCAGAAAAGAACATGGTAGCACCTTATTTTCCATGTTCCATATTTTCCAGGTAATTTCCTAAAAACTTTCCTCATAATTTCCTAAAAACAAGCGGCCATTTATCACTTTATTACTTGAATATTTCCAAGAAAGGCTGATGTGCTTTGCTACTGATTATAAAAGGAAACTGAGAAAGTTATTAAGTACCCGCTCGTTAATTTGAGTTTTTGAGAAAATAACAGGAAATGATGCAAAAGGTAGGTGAAAAATAGCACAAATGAACTGATGCCAATATCCAGCAAAGCTGTAGTTTCTCTTATAGTTCGGCTTCGTTGCAAATATCTTTGTATTTAACAACCGATTAGCAGCAATTTTTTGGGAAATTAAGAGCAAAGTTTCCAGGAATACAGGATCCGTAAAATAATGCGTTGCTAAGAAAATTGCTAACAGGAAATTCTAAATTTTTTATTTTGTCTTTGATTGTTCCTTTGCTTCATTTGACCTTATTCTCATTTGTTACATACAGTGTGAACAGTTCCAGGAAAACTGAGGCAAATGAGCCGGGACCACAGCTGATAACTTGTATCTACAGTAGAAACATATAGAAAACAGTAGAAACAGAGCAGAGGGAAGAAGCTGGTGGAGTTGGGTGTAAATGTGTGTATGGCTCTCAGAGTGTGTGGCACGGCTAATGTTTGACCTTGGCAATGCATTATGGGACTTCATTGACCTGTGGTTGGTGTTAGAGCTATTGATTTATCAGAAACACACACACACACACACACACACACACACACACACACACACACACACACACACACACACACACACACACCTTTTTCAAACTCACACCCACTTGAAAATCTCAAAATGTTTGGCAGCCCACATTAAACCTGTAAAATACAGAGGCAAATGATGCCTTCTCTTTTTATTTTTTAATGGTAACGATCGAACATTCAGGACTGAACTGAAAGCAGGAGAAACTTCAATTTATCTTTTGTGTTTGACGGAGGTCCACTTGTTGATTCATCATCTGTTCTCGACTCTCTTCCTTTTAATTCCTCCTGTTGCCAACAGCTATCCATTTTGATACTGTTTTTTCCCATGATGTAATCCTTTAATCAAAACTGAGAGAACAAACAAGTACAAGATGTGGTCGGCAAACACATTAAAGTTCCTGTCACAGCGATAAGCCTAATTGAGAAAAAGAACATGACCTTTTAAATATTTTAATGTTTTTAAAGATGATTTTGTTTAAAAATGTTATTTGTACATACAAATATGTATATATTCTTTTCTATAAATAGATTACCAAAATTGTACTGTATAGCAAATGATTTGTCGGTCCATTTGCAGTACCTTTGGAGGCCACAGGTTGGCAACACTGGTCTAAATGTCATTTTTTTAGACCTGAACCACAAAATTAAATTCATTTCACCTCCATTGTATGGTGAAATATCACAGAGCTATCTCAAATTAAATCTATCTCTCTACATGGCTTTTAAAAATTTTATTTACTCATTTTATGTATTCTGTAATTTGGGTGAAAGCAACCCTTTAAATGGCATGCAGTGTATATTAAACTAGAATGTCATGGTAATATTTCCCAAATCCATCTCCTTTAATTATGCTTTGTCCCATTAAATTTCAGACCAGCTGAGTGAACAGTTCAAGCAGTACTCTGAAAAAGCAGTAAGGACAGAGGGGAAAGTGTCTGCAGATGGATCACACAGTATCCAAATGCCTGTAATGATGATATATGAGAAGAAGTTGTGGATGGAAACATAAAACTGATTGAGAGGAGGCCGATATTATTCCTCTCTTCAAAGGATGAGATGGCAGCGAGTTCATCCTGAGACTCTCTTTTTTGATTAATTTTTGCAGCTCAGTTCGTCCGCAGCGAAGGGGGACGGCGAGAAAACTTGCTGAGAGGATGAGGAGGGAAAGAAGAGTGTAATTATTTTCAAGCAGGTCTCAGCTGAAAACCGCGTCCTCATTAAACACAGAAAACACACCGTCAGCTCAGGGAAGGGAGGAGGAAGAGGAGGAAGGAGAAAAAATGAAGTAGATATGATGGGAAGGTGTGAGGCGAGCTGTTTTCATAAAGTTTCAATATTTTTGTAATTGGTTGTCCAGTGGCTGAGCTGAAGGAATATGGGAATAGAATGTTTACACACTTTACATTGATTAGTACTTGAGTTTAGTCCTGATTTGATCCTGAGTTAAGTACTAGTTTAGTCCTGACAGTCCCAAGTTTGGTCCTGATTTTGTCATGAGTTTAGTCTTGAGTTTACCTGAGTTAGTCCTGATAGTCCTGAGTTTAGTCCTGAGTTTTGGTTCTGAGAAACTCAACTTGGTTAATTCCTGATAGTCCTCAAGCCTAAATTTTAGTCCTGATAATCCTAAACTTAGTCCTAAATTCAATCCTGAGTTTGAATCTTGACAGTCCTGAGTTTTAGTCCTGATCATCCTGAGTTTAGTCTGATTTAGTCCTGAGATTTTTGAAATGATAAAGTCCTTGAGGTTTGGTCCTTCTTGGTCTGGATTTGGTTCTGAGTTTAGTCCTGATAGTCCTGAGTTTAGCCTGATAGTCCTAGTTTAGCCCTGACTTTAGTCCTGAATTTATTCCTTGATGCATCGACTTTAGTCCTGATCGTCCTGCATATTTGAATCTGATAGTCCTGAGTTTAGTCTCTGATTCATCCTAGAGTTTAGTCCTGTCATCCTGAGTTTAGTCTGAATTCATCTGAGTTTGATGCTGATGTACTGAGTTTAGTCCTGAGTTTGGTCCTTTGGTCCTGGATTTGTTCTGAGTTAGTCTGAAGTCCTGGTTTGGTCCTGAGTTTATCCTGATAGTCCTAGGGTTTAGCCTGTATTTAGTCCTGATCATCCTGAGTTTATTCCTGATCATCCTGAGTTTAGTCTGATAGTCCTGGGTTTAGTCCTACTAGTCTGTAGTCCTGACGTTTAGGTTCTGATACTACTGGTTTAGTCCGTGTAGTCCCTGGGTTTAGTTCCTGATTTAGTCCTGATCTTGAGTTTAGTCCTTGATCATCATGAGTTTAGTCCTGATCGACCTGAGTTTGAAAATCTATAGTCCTGAGTTAAGTTATGGATCATCCTGACAGTTATTAGTCCTGGATCAAATTACCTTGTAGTTATGAATCTGATAGTCCTGGTGTTAGATCCTGATGGTATGATATTGGTCTGATTGGTCCTGGAATAGCGCTTAGGTTACCTGAGTTGTACCTGACTTTAGTTCCTAGACGTTGTAGTCCTAAGAGTATAAAATTAAGATACACATGGTATTAGTACCTTCTAGTTTGCTCATAGTTTGATCCTGATCATCCTGAATTCCTTCCTGATCTCCTGAGTTTAGGCCTGAGTAGTCCTAGGGTTTAGCTCTGACTTTACGTCATGACATCCTGAGTTTAAGTCCTGATATGTCCTGAGTTTTGGATGCAAGAGGATGATACTGACCTGGGAGGCAAAGGTTCACATAGAGCAGCACAGCAGCTTGTCAAATGTTTCCATAAGCTAGTAGGGGTTGTAGTTATCCTTACTTGCTGTGGTGGACCATGACCTTTATAATCTGAACCAGGACCACGACCAGGACCAGACCAGGAACAGAAACACAGACTGAATGCGTTGGGTCCAGTTTTAAACACAAACTATGACCAGGTCAAAAAACAGTCATTGGTAACCATTCTGAAATCAGACTAGTCCCCTCCTCCTGGGAACTCCCGCCTGTGGTCGTACGACCACAGTTTAAGGCTTTTGTATCACTCCACATCTTCGTTGGTGGTCTGGTTGGAGCTGATCAGGTAGGTGTGGAACCCCGACAGAGCAACAAACTCGACCAGACGGAGAAGAAACACACACCACCATCCAGGACGGTGCAGAACAGAGTCAAGGCAGACGTCATGCTTTGGACTGGGTCATACACATCTTTATGACTGGGATTTGAGAGACATGTGGTTAAAAGTTTGTGCTCAACAAAACAAAGTAGATGATGCAAATTTTATTCCTGAAATGTTAAGTCCTGAGGCAGCAGAAGAGAAGATATCCTGACTTTTAGTCCAAAAACACAGGAGCCTACATTTATCTTTGTCTTAATTAAGAGCCTCCACTGCTGGCAAACAGCCATGTGTCTTTCAAACTCCACACCAAGTTTGTAACCTTTCAAGTCCTAACTCTTTATGGTTATTTTCTGCTACAGAGCCAAAGAAAACTCACACATCGGTTTCACAGGCTGCTTACAGTGATTACTAAGACAAATAACATGAATATCACACATTAAATGAGCGGGTTGAACCCTTTATCACTATGTCTTTTAATTGGTGAGCACAAATGAATCATTCAAGAGCAGAAAATAATCATTTGTTCACATAAATAATTTTAAAAATGTGATTTATGATTTGTGTGCACAATTGTTAATGTCTTAACTCCATGAACACCTGCCGGGTACATAAAATCCACTATAAGCAGGATCACAACTTTACTGTGTTTTACTTGTTGCAGTAGTATCAAAAAGACAGTTTAACTTCTAGAGGATCCTGACCACCAACTACTAATACATTTATATTTGCCGCGATTGAATATATGCTACTCACTAAGAAAAAAATGATTATTTGAATGACAATTCTTCTTTAGATTTCGCAACCTGCAGAAAAGAACATGGTTAGCACCTTATTTTCCATGTGCCATATTTTCAGGTAATTTCCTAAAAACTTTCCTCATAATTTCCTAAAAACAAGCGGCCATTTATCACTTTATTACTTGAATATTTCCAAGAAAGGCTGATGTGCTTTGCTACTGATTATAAAAAGGAAACTGAGAAAGTTATTAAGTACCCGCCGTCGTTATTTGAGTTTTTGAGAAAAACAGAAATGATGCCAAGGTGGATGAAAAATAGCCAAATGAACTGATGCCAATATCCAGCAAAGCTGTAGTTTCTCTTATTAGTTCCGGCTTGTTGCAAATATCTTGTTGTAATTTAACAACCGATTAGCAGCAATTTTTTGGGAAATTAAGAGCTAAGTTTCCAGGAATACAGGATCCGTAAAATAATGCGTTGCTAAGAAAATTGCTAACAGGAAATTCCTAAATTTTTATTTTGTCTTTTGATTGTTCCTTTGCTTCATTTGACTTATCTCATTTGTTACATACAGTGTGAACAGTTCCAGGAAAACTGAGGCAAATGAGCCGGACCACAGCTGATAACTTGTATCTACAGTAGAAAACATATAGAAAACAGTAGAAACAGAGCAGAGGAAGAAGCTGGTGGAGTTGGTGTAAATGTGTATGGTCTCAGAATGTGTGGCAACGGCTAATGTTTGACCTTGGCAATGCATTATGGGACTTCATTGACCTGGTTGGTGGTTAGAGCTATTGATTTATCAGAACACACACACACACACACACACACACACATCAACAACACCACACACACAA